CTCAAGCCTTTCGGGCTGAAAGTAAGGCGAGAGAAGGCTTGATGCGGAGGGGGGGGAGGGGGCCAAGCCATGATGTTGGATGTTGGGATCGAGAAAAGGGTGGCAAATCGAAAGGGAGGTCTACTACTACTACCATTTGACTTGGTGCCCCATACTACTAATAATACATTGTACTGCCTACATGCATAGTAGTTGGATATCAACTATTTTGTTGTTGTTGTTGTTGTTGTTGTTGTTTCGTCGATACAACGTGTGCAGATTCTGACGGGACCAACCTACATCTTGGCAAATTGGATATGGGGGATGATCGGTGAGTTGCTGATGGATACGAGAGTGATATGCAGCAACTCATGATTGCTACTCTATCAGTACATGGTCAATCGTGGGATTCGCATCAGTGGTGGGTTTGGTTATGATTATATATGGAATCATGGAGTTATCAGTTGCTGGTGCAGCTCCAACTCCCTTCTCATCCGGTATTATGCTGCATTTCGCCCGTGTTACCTGAATAGTAAAGGCTCGATATTCGATTTCTACCGTGAAATGGCGCATAATTCCTGATTCCTTGATGGCATGGCCGAGGACGTACAGGCCATACAAGGACAGAGAAAGACGTGCAAGGAAGAGGGGGGCAAGAAATCGCATGGGACCCCTCTCCTTGGTACTAGTAGTACCTTCCAGTACATATCCAATTGCCAATGTCTGTTCATGAGAAGACAATATTTGTCCACGTCACAAGAGATGTTAGAGAGAGAGAGAGAGGGAAAAAGAGGGGCGGGGTGGGATGGCAAAGAAGCAGAGTATTCCGAATCAAGGAATGGTGGCTCTTCTTGGAGGGAGAATGATAAATCCCGAGAGATGTCACCTCGTTTTTCTACCTCTTCTTTTTTTGAGCCCCGTGAAGTCTCGAGCTGGGAACGGAAAATAACCGTTTCACACTAAACCAACGGAGCAGTGAACAATGGGAACCATTAAGGGTGCTCACACACGCGGAACCATAAGATTGGAATCTTATTTCCCGTAGCTGCGCCACACTGTCATTTCTGTTTTCATCCTGTTTTCGCTCCGTTGTATTTGGCTTTTGCCTTTCAGTAAGCAGAGCTTAGCCCTGGTCTCGTGGATGGATGAGTTGATAGGTAAGAATGCCATAATGCTAGCGAGGAAGACGGCGATCCGAGAAGGGTATGAGAGATGGTGTTCTGTGGCTGGATGAATGGCGCTCCCCCAGATGGCGCTCCCCAGCGGGTCTGAAGTTACGAGGTGGTGCATCGTGAATCAAGGGAGAAGAAAAAGACGCACGAGTACGAGGGAGACCCATTGGACATAAACATTCCATGAGCTTTATGAATAGTAAACATGTCTACTCCGTACGTCGTAATCTGTACAGATTACGGTATTAATGATATTATAATGATATTATAATGATGACGATGAGGGGTGTGGAGACTCGGGACGGAGACATACCCGGCAGACACCTTCCCCGATAGAAACATCACCCCGGGTTTTGGCGTCTGATGCTAGTTTAGGGCCATGGGACGGACGGGCGCTAGTCCTGATTGGGGGTTGAATCACAACAACAATAGCAAGGGAAGGAGCGGACAATAGAAACACCAAATCAGCCTCTATCCCACCTTCCTCTCTCTCTCTCTCTCTCACACACACACATCTTCAATGCTCCTTCTTTCCCTATTTATCTTCACACTGTCGGAAGAAATCCGGGCGTCCACTCAAATTTTAATCACGCATATTCCACTCACTCCCTTTGTTCACTCAGAATTTTCTCCTCCAGCCGACAGCTCTCCGTCGGCTGACGCTCCGATCGTGGCCCTCCCTACCGTCTCAACAACAGAGTTGCATCCTATTCTCCTGTACCATCAGTTCCCAACACCTCCAACACGCGCATGTCTATTGTCCGACGCTTGAAGGGCCTACCTCGGCGACGCTTATGCTCCCTTCCACATCATGGATACACGCCCCCTACATCATGGATGAGGCCGCCGAGGTCCTTTCTTTTCCTGGAAGCTGACAATGGGGCTCTCTCTCTCTCTCTCTTTCTCAGTGGACTGGGGGGTCGAGGGGGACACCGCATTCTGTCTTGTTCCATCTTCCATCACCACACACGCATACAACCACCAAAGAGGCTTGACAATACTTGCTATCCGATGAATAGCAAGCCAGTTGACGGCCGTGATGCCCAGACTGGAACAAATCCCCGGGATTGGGCTCCTTTAAACGTACGTGAATGGACGAGTAGTGCGTATTTACAAAAGGTATTGCTACTCTTATACACCACGCCGCACTGATATTGAGCATGAATCGACGGGATGGTCGGTGGCAAAGAACACAATCAGCCTCTCTACCTCCTCTTCTTCTTCTCCTTCTCTTCTCCCCCTCGAAGCATTGTGTTGGCGGCTAACTTCATATGGCTTACTTCATACACCGGCATTCCTATTGCCTGGCATACGAGAAAGAAGGGAAACAAAAAGGCAAAAGGGTAAAACCCCCACCTATGTTGCGCTGCACGGAATACTGCAGCTCGAAGGGGCCCAATCTTCCCTGAGAACAAAGTGAAACATATTCCCAGACGAGTCAGAAGCTGTTATTCACTTTTCCATTTGCCAGACAGTCGGGTGCTGACGGGCGTGTCAAGCTCGCTTTCCGGCTATCATCTGCACCCCCCCCCCTCTTCCTTGATTCATTGACCGGGGGGGGGGGGGGGGGGGGGGGGGGTTATTAACGGAAATACATCCGACTATACAGAAGACGTACTGAAGATTAATACCGATCTGCAGTCGTTGTAGTATGGGGAATGTCTGTGCCTCAATCGGAGTCTCGGTTACATGGAAGAAGAAGCAGGGTGTCCCCGGAGGCCATGCTATTGTCAGGATTCATAATCCGCAATTCAAGACCTTGGTCGTCATTCTATCGTTCCATGACAATTTCACAATAGAGTGTCATGACCATGGTGACTAGTTTTTCCAAAAGATTGAGGAAAACTCCTTCACGGTACTGGCGGGCAGAAAGTCACCTCCAATGGAGAGACATTCCCATTCAACCCGGGGTCACGCGCAACTTGCTCTGTCTGCTTCAGCAGAGACCTACAGGTATAATAACCACCAATTCTGACCATTTCACGTCTTATTACTAACATGGCTTCTATAGATCACCACTATCGCTATCATTTCATGGTTTATTCCAGACTTTTCTGGGGACCCTAGTATTCAGGAGCGACAACAACAACTACTACTACTACTACTACTACTACTACTACATCTACATCTACACCCCCCCCCCTTTTTGACCTCCTACATCCTCGCACACGAGCCCCCCACACCACCCACCACCTTTCTTCAGATTCACATGGTAAAATCAAGGATTAGAATTCACTTCTTGGCGCCGAACCTGCGGCTCCAGACTCGCCCGTCCCCATTGTCGTCATTTACTGATACACACACCCCTTTGCTTCACCGAGCCTGTAACTCCCGAGCTGGACAGTCAGCTAGCTGGTTGGTAGTGGTGTGGGCTATCGCTGCATACGTTACAATACCTTGCTTCCCTTCTCAAATGCTGCTGCAGGGTTTTGCAGGAGGAACGAACATACTAAGCCTGCTTGTCCCGACGGAGGCCTCGTTGGCATCCAGTCTTCTTCTTTTCCCTCAAAAACACCGCATCTCCCTCGTTTTGTAAGCGCTTATATCAGAAAGACCGGCATCCTTACATCCTTCATCCACACTGATAGATAACACAGACCACCTGTCTTCTTCTCCCTTCACACGTCGTCACACGGTTGATCATGTCAGGAAGAAACTCCCCCCCCTTTACACAATTTGGCTTCGACGGCCACTGCCAGCAGCACGTGTCTGATTCATCGTCGCCGTCACCACCACCCTACATGCCGCCCAGGCAACCCAACATCGTCGCCGGACTCACAGCCAGGGGAGCCAAGCTAGATGCCAGCGCTTCCACCCTTACTTCCACTTCCACAGTGCCTTCCTCCATGCGGCCCCCCATGCAGGAGGGACCGTCACGTCTGAGAAGGCTCAGCTACCCACAGGTCGCCCAGCTTTCCATAATCGACGAGCACAGAACCGACGATGATGGCGTGGCCGCCGATGCGTCGAGTAGCAGCACGGCGTCAACCCTGAACCTCCACATAAACAGCTCCATCAGGATTTCCAACGGCAACAACCTGGTCTGCCTGACCGAGTCCCCCGCCAGGCACGCAAACGCCATCGCCGAGGCCGTCACCCGTGCCCTCCATCTGACCAGCTCGGGCCACTGCGGCATCCCCATGGTTGACGGCAACGGGAACCCCCGTCCCATACAGATCGACGTCGATGCGGGCCTGGTGGTGGACGGGGTGGGCAACGTGCTGGGCAACGAGAAGATGATTGATGAGGTTCTGAAACAGAGGCGCCAGAGACTGAGCGAGGAGCTAGACCCGCGCTCGCAGTCGAACCCGTGTGGTTTGCGTCGAAGACGGCGTGAGCGCGACGACCGGGACGAGGATGATAGGGAGTCCGAGGGCGACGATTTGAGCTATTATCAGGCTAAGAGGAGACGGTCACAATGAAGATGTTGAGAACTTGTTTTCATTTTTCTTCTGCTGGTTCTTTCACTATTCTGTCTCCACTTCACATCTCTCATCTTTTTATCTAGTCGTGTTGCTTCTTGTGAGGGTCTGCACCAAGTTTTACATGTTGTCTATTCAATGCTATGTAAATCAGCAAGTTTCCACTTGTATCTTACGTTTCTCTTTCTCCTTCTTTCTTTTCGAAAGAAGTCTCCTTTCAGAAGAAGAGAAGGGTGAGTAGTAAAGTATGACCGAACAAAGTGGCAGGTAATTGAGGAAAAAATGATTATTGATATAGACTACGATATTTAGGGCCTTAGGGCCGTTATCAAACCCGAAAAGAAGATTCCATCCAGCCGGGCCAAGGCCGAAGGGCTCATTCAGCACCACCACTACGACGTCATGTACGAGCACCCAGTTATTCACCCCCCCCCCCCCCCCCCTTGTCTAAGAGAAGAATCAGTGCTATTTCTTGTCTACCGCGTATGTATAATTATATTATCCTGTCAAGGCCTGGAATCACTCCCCGTTCTTAAAACGTATACGCCGGCTGACCTCCTTCCAGACACCCCTGTACCCCTTTGCAATCTCGTACCGACCGTCGTAAAGAGGGTAGACGACGACGGCGAAGAATGCGAAGAATTGCCATATGATGGCTACGGTGGTCCAGCTCTTGAAGAAGGTTTTGGTGAAGATGTAGTCGCGGTACAGCGGCATGGGCCAGGCCACAAAGGTGACGAGGACGATGCCCACGAATATGTAGCAGGCGATGCGGTACCAGCGGCGGAGCTCCCTCAGCGTAGCTTCGTCGAAGGGGTGCTGCACGTCGTCGAGCGAGATGGCGGCGGCGTCGAAGTCGGACGAGTCCAGCCCGGATCCTGAGTCGACCCTCACCTGGCTCGTCGCGGCTGCTGCCGTACCCTTTTCCTCCTGGTCTACGTCCGAAGCAGCGGCAGACTGCTGCTGCTGCTGCTGCTGCTGCTGCTGCTGCTGATGCGGTGACGGGGATGGGGACGGGGAATGCTCGGCACGGTCGGGGTCCTCCTTGTGGAGACGACGCTCCTCGACGATCTCGGCAACTAGAAACTTGCGCCAGTCGAAGACGTAGGGCCTGTACAGGGAGATGACGACGGAGTAGATGGCCGGGGAGAAGAAGGAGGTGATGGCGCCGAAGAGGGCAGGCAGGCTCCCCTCGGTCGTGGTCATGTTGACCTTGCCGTAGATGGCGTAGGCGGTGCCCAGCCAGACGGCCAGACCGCTGAAGAAGCCGAGGACGGGAGAGGCGATGGCGGCGAGGCGAGTCTGGCGCGACCAGCACAGGGTGAGGGCGAGGGGGATGATGCCTGGGCAGGACAGGACGGGGCGGAAGTAGCCGATCCACGTCATGTCGGCGCCGCCGTAGTTGAGGGCGAGGGAGACGCCGGTGATGAAGACGCCGTGGATGACGACGGTCAGGTGGCTGACCGAGACGAGCTTCTTGTCCGTGGCGCACGGGTTGATGTAGGTCTTGTACACGTCAAAGGACAGGATGCTGCTCACGGCGATCATGGAAGACGAGATGGTGCTGGTGAGGGCCATGAACATGAGGACCAGGAAGGCGTCGACGCCCCTGGTGCCGATCAGGCCCTTTACCAGGTACGGCATCACGTAGCCGGCGTTGACCTCGGCCATGGTGATGTCCACGGGGTACCCGGGCCAGACGGAGGTGTTGTGGAGGGCGCGCGCCGACAGGCCCAGCACCGTGCCCAGACCCCACGGGATGCCGAAGATGGCTGCCGCCGCCAGGTTGTACCCGGGAACCGTGGCCTTGACCTCTGTGGCGAACGACTTCTGCCAGAAGGCCGTGTCCATGATCACCAGGGCTAGGTTGCCGAACTTGAGGATCAGCCCCCATATGATGGCGTCGCGCGACTTCATCGTCAGCAGGGAGCCCTGATAGTTGCCGTCGATCAGGTTCTCCGACGCCGTCGCCCGGACCTTGTCGTACAGTCCGCCGAGTCCGCCGACGGCGTCGTGTGTCAAAACGGACAGCGTGAAGTAGATGATCAGGACTAGGGCCACCAGCGTGTGCAGGTAGTCGGTGATGAAGGTGGCCTTGAGACCGCCAACGGCCGTGTAAAGGATGACTTTTTTTGTTTGTTAGTTTTTTGCAACCCCAAGTCAGTACAGCTTCTGTGCAACGCAATCTCGGGACGGCAGACCGCAGAATGGATGCACTTACCTCCTAGAGGAATGAGAAGTGTAGAAGCGACAAAGTGCATGCCCGAGATGCCGTGGATGAGCTGAGACCCGGTCAGGATCATGGACGCACATCCAAACACATTGTTGGTCAGGTTGAGCGTGATGAAGACGACGTGGCCCAGCCAACCGTAGCGGATGCGGATGATCTCCAGCGACGTGTGAGCATAGGGAACTCGTATCTTGGCCATGACTCCGAGAGCCGCCATCAAGGCGATCTGAAAACATAATCCAGTTGCCCACCACTGTGTGTGTGAGTGTGAGTTGTGTTTTTCCCTTGTCAGCACAATCTCTTGTCTCATAATCGATGAAAGAAGAAGAGGAGGAGGAGGAGGAGGAGGAGGAAGGAATAGAACAAGAGAAACGTCCAACAAAGAAAAAGACAGAGTCCAACATACAAACGGTACAGCCAAGCCAAACTTGTAACACATTGCCGCCGAGAAGACAGTCTCATTAATCCACATCCACGAGGAGAATACAGCCGAGGCCGTCAAACCAGTCCCGACGGACCGGTTGGCCACCATGAACATCTCGGACGTTCCCGAGTCCTCGGCCAGATAGGACTTTTGAATCTTGACGGCGATGAGGATGACGCCGCAGAACCCCACGCCCAGACCTATCAGGATGCCGTAACCCGTGCCCTGGGAGATGAGGGTCGTCTGGACGGCGCCCAAGTGTCCGACTGCCGCCATACTGAAGCACTTCTTCTCTCTCTCAGAGTCTTACTGTCAAGTTCTCTCCCAAGGTGTAGACAAAAAAGAGTGAAGTAAGGTTCCTGCGGCTCTGTCTCATGCGTTCACGAATCGACCACTTGAACCGTTGGTAGATATGTATATATATATATATATATAGTGAGTTCATCTGACAAAGTTTTTTTTCCCTTTATCTATCGCTCTACTCTTCTCTGACGCAGTAATACCTAATATTACCTGGTGTATGATCCCGGTCACCCCTTCTAAAGAGCCCATTACGTGCTGGAAAAAGAAATCATTGACATTTGGTGCATCCACAAAGATGCCTGGCCAATCGACTCTGGAGCAAACCATGTTACAAGTTACTCTTTCTTCCTCCTCCTCCTGCCCCTTCTCCTGTTGTTCCTGCAAACTCGACAGGTCTCGTCGTTTGATCGCTTCCGAATCTGTAATTCATTGCTTTGATATGACACCGGATATAACGTCTCGGCATAGACTTCTCTAGTGCAGAGTGGATGCTGCGATGTCGGCAACTGGCTGGTTGTCGTCACGATATCCAACGTGCAGATGACGCAATGTGTAGAGATCAACCAACGGGTGTTGTGGGTTTCTATATTTCCACAGACTTGGTTGCAATCTGACCGGGGGACTTCACGAGTCTCATCATCCGATTGGATTTTCTTTTTCCTCTGTTCTTTTTTTTTAATTCTTCTCTTCGCCGTATCATTATTCTACACCGGGATAGTATCTGTTTAGGATTTTACTTGACGTATGTCTTGCAATTCAGGAAGAGGTTGAACAACCCAGAATCAACATACCTGCATGCATGCACTGAGTATAAAACCAGCATGAACCCCTCCCTACACCTCGCCGAACCATCGTTCTCGTAGTCCCGCTTATCGCACGTCCTTTGATGGATTGCGGGCAATAATCCATGTGATATTGCGTGCGAATGGTGCAATCGGCTTCGATACCAGGTCGGCTGAACGGAGCAAGCATTCAAGAAATGGGGTTCCGTAGGACCTCGCAAGAAGAAGGAGAAACAGTCGAGAGTATCTTCGGCTAATGCTGATTTGACGCCTAGTGGATTAAAGTTAGTAGAAACATTGCAGTGTCTCGTATGAAGTGCCCTAGTCGGAAACTTGTGCATCTGACTTCACTCTTCCTGTATCATTGAAACCTCGGATGTGTAGTTTTGAAACGAAACGAAACGAAACACCATGGCTACCCAGGAGAAGAAGCAGCTGATCCTCAACGCCTTCGTCATGAACACCCCGGGACACCTGTCCCCCGGTTTCTGGAAGCACCCGCGCAACAAGACGGAGCAGTACAAGCGCCTCCCGTTCTGGCTGGACCTGGCGCGCCTCCTCGACGATGCCGGCTTCCACGCCATGTTCATAGCCGACACCCTGGGTCCGTACGACGTGTACAAGGGCCCCGCGAACGTGGTGCCGGCCCTGAGCGCGGGGGCGCAGTTCCCCGTCAACGACCCGCTGTACCTGGTTCCCTCGATGGCGGCGGCGACCAAGAACCTCATCTTCGGCGTGACCGCCAGCCTGACGTACGAGGCGCCCTACTCGCTCGCGCGCCGCCTCTCGACCGTCGACCACCTGAGCGAGGGCAGGGTGGCTTGGAACATCGTCACGTCGTACCTGGACAGCGCGGCGCGCAACCACGGCCTGCAGGAGCAGATCCCCCACGACGAGCGCTACGCCATCGCCCACGAGTACCTTGAGGTGCTGTACAAGCTGTGGGAGGGGAGCTTCCGCGATGACGCCGTCGTGGCCGACCGCGAGACGGGCCGGTACATCGCCGCCGACGGCGTGCGCCAGATCCACCACAAGGGCAAGTACTTCAACGTCCCCGGCCCGCACTTCTGCGAGCCCTCCCCCCAGAGGACGCCGCTGCTCTTCCAGGCCGGCGTCTCCGAGGCCGGCAACGCCTTCGGCGGCAAGCACGGCGAGGTCATCTTCGTCGGCAGTCAGACCCCCGAGGACGTCCGCAAGATCGTCGACGACCTGCGCGCCATCGCCGCCAAGGAGGGCCGCGACCCGAACCACTTCAAGATCGTTGTCGGCATGGGCGTCATCGTCGCCGAGACGGACGAGGCCGCCGAGGCCGAGAAGGAGGACCTGCTCAGGTACGTCGACGAAGAAGGCGCTCTCGCCCTGTTCGGCGGCTGGACCGGCGTCGACCTCTCCAAGTACGACGACGACCAGGACTTCTACACCAGCGACTCGCCACGCGTCCAGTCCCTCGTGCGCCGCCTGGCCAACGTCGTCGTCGGCACCAAGAACACCCCCTGGACCAAGCGCCGCATCATCGAGCACCTCAGCCTCGGCGGCCTGCAGACAAAGATCATCGGCGGCCCCAAGAAGGTCGCCGACGAGCTGGAGCGCTGGGTCGAGGTCGGTGGCGTCGACGGCTTCAACCTCGCCCACATCACAAACCCCGGCACCTTTGAGGACATCATCAAGTATCTCCTGCCCGAGCTGAGGCGGAGGGGAATCTTCCGTGAGGCGCCGACCGCTGAGGGTGCCACGGCCCGCGAGGTCTTCATCGGCTCCAAGAGGCTTCCTGAGGATCACCCCGGGAGCAAATACAAATGGCGTGCCGGAGAGCCTGCCCCCAAGTTCCAGGAAGCTGGCGTGAGTGTCTAGTCTTCATTTAGATGCGTAATGATAATAAACGGACTGTGTTTCGCTTTCGCCGCCCTGGACTGTCTCATCGTCTTCAAGCTTCGACGAGAGACATTGTGTGAGGTTTGCCCTTGAATCGCAGCAGCCTCGGCGATGGCGTGGTAAGATTCTTCCGAGGTCGTCCTGTCGGTAGCACTCACCCACATGTCACTGCTTTCACGCGAATCGTATTGCACCTCTAGGGCAGAGTCGATGACGAGCCAGGATTTCCTGCAGTATTGTCAGCGCTATGGCTGGGTCAGTCTGTCAGAAATTCCTCAAGGTGTCAGGGGGGCTGATATCTGCCGGTAGAGTGATAGCCAGAACCGTTCCCGACAGCCTCCATACTGATCGGCAATGCGTCGGTGATGCGTCGGTGTCGTCGTTTCGACCAAGTCGCTGCTGTCTTTCCTGTTGCGCGTGCCACCACACGTAGAATCGTGGCTTCCTGTTCCCCGTCTCTGCCTCATCTGTAATAAGATACGTGACGATGCAAGGAGCAGACCACGAGTACGAGAAGTATTATGCCCCGCAAAAAGGGCTGAACGATGGTGGCCCGTGGGTACCTACCTATATACAGTGTACTAAGCCTGTAGATGGTGGGCCTATCTCGACAGCAGCGCTCGACGCTCGCAATGCCATCCTTTTATTCACAACCTCCCCTCCCCAACCCTACGTGCCTTATCCGTTACTTCCTCTTCTTCTCTCTTGTCTCTGCGACCGTGACCGGGGAAAAGCAGCCTGATAAGGTCACGGGTACTTTGTTGTTGACAGCTCGAAACAGTTCGTCTTAGACGGTGTCCAATAATGTTGGTCAATTCATAGGTCGATGAATCCACAGTTCAGCTTTCCGAAGACGATGGACCCCGCGCGGACCGCCCCCCCTCTCAACAAACAGAATGCAGATCTCTCTGACTTTCTCCCCTTTCCGATTCTCCCTTCCTTCTCTTCCGTAGAATGATAGTACACAGTTGCTGAGCCTTCTCGTCTTCTTCTCTTCCTCGAAAAAACAGCAACATAGAACAGGAGCAGCTATGGCCGACTTGACGATTCGTAACCTGACGGCCAAGCCCCTCTTCCTCATCAAGGTGGAGAGGTTTGAGACGGAGCGCGAGCAGACGGGCAGCCTGCTGGGCAACATGACGACGGCCCTGACGAGTATGATGAACGCGACCGAGTTCCAGAGCTACAGGGTCATACCCAAGGGCCAGCCCATCAAGAAGCACGACGCGGACATCAAGGTCGACGCCTTTGCGAGCAAGAAGACGGACGTGCGCACGGCCGACGGCGAGCGCGAGGTGATTCGCCTGACGCTGCGCACCGAGGACGACAGGCGGTACCAGATCGACGTGCCGCGCCCGGACGCCAAGGCGGGCTCGATGAAGAGGATCGGCCAGGGCCACGGCGACCTGGAGCTGACGGGCGTGTACGTGGAGCGCGGTGCCGTGCTCGCCGTGTTCTCGTCCGGCCGGCTGGACAGCTGGATGGCCAAGCTGCACGACAAGTGGCCGCTGCAGATCCTGTCCATCCCCGGCACCCACAACTCGCCCACCTGCTACACCGCCCTGCCCTCGGTCCGCTGCCAGTCCGTTGGCGTGCCCGAGCAGCTGCGCAACGGCGTGCGCTTCCTCGACATCCGCGTCTCCGTCGAGCCCAACGGCGACCAGCTCACCCTCGTCCACAGCGCCTTCCCCATCTCTCTCACCGGAGCCAAGTACCTGGACCCCCTACTCGACGACGTCTACCGCTTCCTCGACGAGCACAAGGACGAGACCGTCATCGTCTCCCTCAAGCGCGAGGGCACCGGCAAGGGCACCGACGAGCAGATGGGCACCGTCCTCAAGAAGAACCACGTCGACAAGCACCCCAACAAGTGGTGGGTCCGCCCCGGCGTGCCCAACCTCGGCGATGCCCGCGGCCGCATCGTCCTCGTCCGCCGCTTCGGCATCGGCAACGACCTCAAGGCCTGCCACGACGGCAGGGGCTTCGGCATCGACGCCCAGGCCTGGCCCGACAACTGCGAGGACGGCCGCTGCGGTCCCGCAATCCGCGTCCAGGACTTTTACGAGGTCTCCGAGACCCAGAATGTCGAGAAGAAGATTGACTTCTCCCGCGGCCAGCTCGAGCGCGCAGCTGAGCAGGGCTACAACATCGACGGCGGCAGCCCGGCCCCTTCCTTCTTCATCAACTTCCTCACCGCCAGTAACTTCTTCAACGCAAACTGCTGGCCTGAGCGCATCGCCGCAAAGGTCAACCCCGCCATCGTCGAGTACCTGTGCGTTAAGCACGGCGCAGAGGGCCAGGGCCCCCGCAAGCTCAAGGTCGGCAGGGCGAGCACCGGTATTGTCGTCACCGACTGGGTTGGCGCCCATGGCGACTGGGACCTTGTCCGTTCTGTTGTCGGCATGAATGCCCGTCTGCAGCGTCCGAGGGGACAGTAGAGTAAAGCACGTCTCCAAAGTCGTCAACAAAATTCAACTTCAAAGTCTAATATATATATATTACATGTGTACGCTGGAAATAAGGGTATATGGAGTTTCATGTCTTTTTCATTGTTTTGTTGGTTCGTTTGTTCGTTCAATAGGATATCAAATGCTACGCCAAACTATAGTAACACAAAACCCAACACACCTGTTCTTGTTCCCATGTTAGCGTACCAGGACTTTTCCAATATTTTGCGACTACGTAGACAAAAAGTGTAAGGCAGAGGAGGAAGATCAGTTCTCCAAGGTGAAATTGTATGTTCATCACGATGAACTCAGATAGAACAATGATATGGTAAGAAGTCATCATGTAGAGAGGGGTCGGTATGTGGAGCGCAAAGGAAAGGGGAAAACCTACCGAACATGTTTTGCCCAACTGGACATGACGAGAAGTCATCATTGCCTGAGAACCAGAGATGAGTCAGCATTTTGCTTCAATGCCCAGAAGGTATTGATGCCATAGATGTACAGCACTGCCTAGATTGCTAAAGGTAATTGTTAGCAAAATGCTCAATCAGTGGCTGGTATGCACAAGCATGAAAACTTACAAGACCATATCAGAAGGTGATGTTATGTTCATACCCTAGCAATACAAGTATCGAGGGTCAAACAGTGTGAATACGATTACAGCTCATCATGGTCGACGAGGCAGGCTTTTGTTTTGAAGAGTGTCTTTGTATTTACCTACAACGCACCCATATTAGTCTTCTTGTCGTCAACTCGGTCCATCGACACAGGAACGTTGGTATAGCAAAAAAATCAGGTGACGAAGTTTCATCAATAGATCCCCGCCAGCCCACCACCACAAGGTTTGTACGCCTTGCTGTCTAAGGATGGTAGACAGACGAGGCTCGTTTATGTCCGCCCGTTCGTTCAATTTTTCTTCATTTTGCTCCAATGGGAATATAGCTTCGCACATCGCACGGGAAATAGAGAGTTGCATGTATAGTACCTGTATTGCCCGGTTTGTTAGCTTGAAGGCTCGAAATGTTAAGATTTCCAGTGCAAAAAGAGTGAGCAGCGAATTTTTCTGTCAGACAAGGCTGAAACTTAAGTTACAAACAACTCCACATGATGTATTAAGAATGAGGAATCCCTGTGTGTCGTATGGTTCATCATACAGAAAGAGGGGGGAAGAGGCTGAAGCAAGAGGCCGAAAAAAAAAGGGAAATGAACCAACCTTTTGAAATCATCATGTCGCTCGATACGAGAAAGACGAAGGGAAAAGAGAAGAAAAGAAATCTACTGGAACTGAAGAATGGTCAGCAAATAGGTCCCAGGGCCATGGTATGCAACAAAGCAGGGTGAAGCTTTTGCAAGAAAGCTCAGAGTAATTCTAGAGATAAAAGTCCCCATTGTGTTTGTAGGAATTGGATTGTTCGTGGAAGAATGTTCATCATAGTAAGATGCGAGGATGAATGAAGCAAATGGAGTAAGAGAGTATGATGGTCTTACCTTGAAAAAAAGAAAACCCGAAAGAGAGAGCTCTCTGACGAGCGCTGCTAAAGCGCTCGCCGATAGAGGGTTGAAGCCGACAAAACAAATGTTTGTGGTTGAAGAAGGAAAGAGAAAATCAAAATTTCCAGCTCGTGGTAGAAATGCTCTTCAAAAACAAGCTAGCCCTATTATGAAACTAGCGTTTTGTGGCTATGGTGGCTGTGCAACCCCTCAGCTGCTAAAATGTGGCGTTTCCCCTTATCGTAAACTAGATGACGATCAATGATTCGCATGGACGTATAACAGGACCAGATCCTCCCAGGGGACGTCACACTTCAACACAACATCCTCAAATCCATCGCCAGTTACTGTCTACCAACATGGCGTCCATGGGGGGATTATGGGGTTCAACAACCCTGCGTCTCCTTCGCGTCGCCGTGTCCCGGACCGCCTCGGCTTTCCGGACCAGGGTGGCGAATGCGTCGAAACCACGACTACAACCCATTCCGATTCAAACTACTGGGAGGCAGCCGCTGCACCCTGCCGCCGTGCTGAAGCAGAGGCGTGCCGGAGGAAGCTCACGCTGGTTCTCCAGTGGCACGACGAACCGCATCGACAGTATCGTACGGAGATACTTTAGCTCGTCCGGGGGCTCCGCCCCACGCCTCGACCGCTCCAAGCTCCCGCGTTCCAAGACGTCGCAGCGTGTGGCCCAGTTCTCCGGCCGCGCCCCTTTTGCGAGCACTTTGCGGCCGAACCTCACGGGCGGCGCTATGCCCCGAACCGCTGGTGGTTACACCCTCGGCGGCGGAGGCGGCGCCCGGTACTTCTCTCACGGTCCCGCCGCGCCGGCGCAGGTCGTCCAGAACGTCTCCCAGGCCATGAGGGCCTTCTTCCTGTCTGGCCAGAAGTTGCGCTATGACGGTATGGGAGCGCGAGGTGAACACAAGTACCGCGCCGTGTCAGACCTCGAGGACAAGGCCATGAACAAGCTAGCTGCTATCCACCGCAACAGCCCCGGCGCTTTTGTCGACTTCCAACTCAGCCCCACCATGACGGCTCTGAGCCCCCTAGCTGCCGCCATCTCCGGTGCCGGCGCTTCTACCTTCAACGGCGGTGCCCAGGCTACCGAGGTCATGACCAGCCTTAATACTGATGGCTTCCTCGACGTCTTGTCCGCTGATTTCGGACGTGCCCTCAAGGAGCTGACGGCCGTGTATGCGGATCTCAGACGCCTCGCGGTGCTGGGAGACTTGCCCATCACCATGGAGAAGCACGGCACGATTCGCGTGCGCTTCCCTGGTGTCGACGCCGAGACTGCCACCCGATTGTGTGATGACATTGGCCTCCAGCGGGGTATCGTCGGCGAGGACGCAGACCTTGAGGCCACCGTTGGCCATGACGATACCTCGGGAGGTCTCAAGTTCCCGTTTGCGCCCGAGTCTTACCGCCCACAGTCTATCACGTGGTTGTCTGATGGCTCCCTCGAACGTCACGATGGCATCTCATCCATAGAGTACGAGGACTGTTTTGTCTATGACTCCTCCGTCGCTGATGATAAGGGCCTTGATATTTCGGACATGGACAGCTTTGAAAGCGTGTCTCTTCCCGAGAGCTCCGGTGAACATGCATCGGCGAGTTTCGAGGGCCTCGAGGGCATCTATTGGTTCATCGAAGAGTGCGATCGAAACATTGGTCGACTTGGTTAATATAGATTCTCGTGCTTTTCTCTTTGTCGTTCGAGTTTCTGTCTGAAATACCGCTAGCGGGCATCAAGGTGTATGTCGGCAACAAAGACTGATCATCGCCCGCACTCCACACTCTTTTTGAACATTTCCTTATATATTCTTGGCTCCAAGCCTTTTCAGATTGACACGTCCATACGTGGTGCACTTAACGTTGGCAGGCCGCTCCATGTTTTGATGAATGCAAATTTCCCTATTGAACTTTTATACATTCAGTACCTGCCCAGAAAAAACTGTGATGCCCTTCATGTAGCTCTATACCTGAATGCGCGTCCGGATCACCGATGGCTGATATCAGTTGGCTTGGCCGGTTGCACTGTAGGTGGAGATGAAGGTGGAGGAGATGTAGCAAGCTTGTCGGTCTCGGTAGACAGATATTGAAGGAACATCCCAAAGGATATGAGATTTGCGGCCATGCGATCACACGCCGCGTTCTCAGTATCTTGAGGCATGATGGGAGGGACGTTCTGGAGCTACTATCAATATGTGAAGGAGTACAGAGGAAAATGGTAAAGTAGAGGCTAAAATATGAAGCTCGTGGTTGTTGGACTGCCTATGTGGTGTGACACTGCTATAGAGCTTTCTGATTCCAATTTTTGGTCACGTGTACCACTCTACCTGTACCTTTAGAGGGAACAGATGTACCCCAACTCCCATCCAAGTATTCTTTCACTTGTCAACATATTTACAGCTGTTCTCACGATACGCCTCCTCAGTACTGCATATATCTACAATATACAATACTATTCTAAGCCTCTATGCAAATCCTACGAGACCGGAATCAAAGAACCGTGGCCGGAGTGACCTCTCGGCAGGAGCCAGGAGAAGCCCGAACTTCTACAATGTTATAGCGCAGTGTCGGACGCTATAGGTTAAGCTTGCTAACAGGTGGGCCGATTATGCAGAGGACAAGATTGTACATCTCAAATACATTCGGCCTGTGGCCAACATACAGACTCGCGGCTCCTAACACTATATGTATTTGCATAGCAGGTTGGCTCTAGCCATATCACTACGTGCAAATTTGTTCGGGCGTGCGGAAACCTATTGCCACTGGCCCCTGTGCAGCGTCACACACTCTTATGTACGTTGGACTTGGTGGCGGCAAGTAATTTTTTAGTCAGCTCACGCAGCATGCCACACCTGATGGTAGTAATGACGGGTGTCCTTCGCCTCTTTTTCGTTTCCTTATTTTACAATAGAAATCGTATTATGGAAGTGATTCACCATCGGTACACTGGCTAGCTGATTTCTACTCATGGATTGCTTAAAGAAGGTGTGAAAATGGGCAAGCCTGACGATGGCTTCCTCTTACCAGAATGAGGAGAGGGGCTTATCGTGAGCCATTGAGGGGTAATAGCACGTCAAAGAAACAACCTCGAAATCCCGCTTGCTATTTCTTTTCTTCAATTTTCTTCTCTTTTCATTTTCTCTTTTCCGATTTGAATATTCCTATTTGATATCACCCTTCCCCCATCTTTCTATACGTCAGCGTGAACCTACCCGTGATCGTAATGAGAGCATCCTGGTCTGGCCTCGTGGTCCAGTCTCTCACGAATGTTAGGTCAATGTTAACTGGCTACGATGGCACATGCAAGCCATACGATGCCTCTCTCACAACTGGCATTAGATACTCTTCCTGCGATGATACCAACTGGCCTCCCCCCGGACCAGGCCATAATGTGGGCACGTTGCTGAAGCCCCAGACGCCGGACAGGGCGCTCCAGGGCGCGTTGGCCTCAGTATCGACAGAGCACATCAGGGACAATATCGCAAAGCTCGTCAGTTTCGGCACGCGGCACACCTTGTCATCCCAAGATGATCCAGAGCGTGGAGTTGGTGCGGCGCGCAGTTGGATCGCAGGCGAATTCCGTCGGTACGCCGAGGAGGCAGACACGGGCCTCTTGGATGTTGAGATCCCAGGCTACGTGCAGGGACCGGCGGAGCGGGTGCCAGAGCCGGTCTGGGTTGGCAATGTTCAGGCTACGCTCCGGGGTACCTCGGACCCGGCACGACACTACGTGACTATGGGCCACTACGACACGAGGGTGACGGATCCGTTAAATTGGTGGGATGACCAGCCTGGAGCAAACGATGACGCATCTGGTGTGGCAGGTAAGAGAGGGCTACTATTGCATAATCATTAGGTGCAGCCTGCCTGATAACATGTCACAGTCGCAATGGAGGTAGCCCGCGTCATGGCTAGGTATGAGCATGCAGCAAGTGTGGTATTTGCGGCAGTGGCAGGTGAGGAGCAAGGACTCCTTGGATCACGTTTCCTCGCCCAGACGATGCGCAACGCGAGCGTGTCAGTCGAGGGCGTCCTCAACATGGACATCGTAGGCAGCTCGACAGGATCACGAGGCGAGCGAGAGCCACATGCGGTGCGGGTCTTCTGCCAAGGCGCACCGTTGACCGAATCGGACGACAAGACGCGGCAGCGGCAGTCTATCGGCGCCGAAAACGACTCCCCCGCGCGTAACCTGGGCCGTTTCATCGCCGAGGTGGCCGGCAATAGCTTCACGGGGATGCGCATCGCCCTCGTGTACCGGCTGGACCGGTTCCTGCGCGGCGGTGACCACCGGTCCTTCCTCGAGGCAGGATATACGTCGTCGGTACGCTTCTCGGAACCCAACGAGAACTTTGCGCACCAGCACCAGGACCTGCGGGTCGAGCATGGGGTGCAGTATGGTGACCTGGAGGAGTTCCTCGACTATGAGTACATTGCGCGTGTGGCACGGGTTAACCTCGCTGCGCTGTGGTCGCTGGCTAACGCGCCTGGGCTCGTGCGCAATGTTACAGTCGATACGTCGGTGCTGGACAACGACACGAAGCTGTCGTGGGTGCGAAGCGAGCCACAGAGTGACGGCGTTGAGGGATACGAGATTGTCTGGAGGCCTACGACTGCCCCCCAGTGGACTCACGCGCAGTTTGTCGGGGACGTCGATTCGGCTACGGTTGAACTGTCAATCGATAATGTCATTTTCGGTGTGAGGGCCGTGGGGAAGAATGGATATAAGAGTCCGGCGACGGTGCCGTTCCCTAGATAAGAACGATGACGCCATCGTTCTAAACGTAGTGTAGATGGCGCAAGGGAGGGGGGAATGTTAGAATGTGGAGGTGACGAGGTACGAGGTTAGACGTTGGCGGTTGGAGCTTTCCCCACACTCCTGGACCTCGGCTTGGTCTGCGTACACGGCAACGGCAACCACCACGGTAAAAGGACGACTCCTCTCATCCTCGTGGAACTCTTACTCTATTGTTCCCATCATCTCCATCCCCTAACTTCAACAAACCGCCACCCGTCTAACAACAAACGTGTCAAATTCATTCCATTATGCCTGATCCTGGTGTCGGCTTCGAGTACCCGCCCGTCGAGGTGCAGTGGCTCAAGCGCGATGTGCTCCTGTTTGCCAACTCAATTGGCGTCACGTCGGATGAGCTTCACTTTCTCTACGTATGATTATGCTGCATCCCCGTGATGAATGTTTCTTATCTATGCAAGTAATTGGATCACTAACGGGCGTTCGATCTCTGTAGGAGCTTCACCCCAACTTCTCCGTCTTCCCGACCTATCCCATCGTCCTGCGTATGTAACAGGGGCGACTCTCTCAATGCATGTGATGAGTACTGGTGGTTAACAGTGCAGGTTTAGCCTTCAAGACCAACTCGCAAGAGGTCGTCGACTTCTATGCGTCCCAGAAGGCCGTCAAGATCCCCGGCGTTCCTGACTTCGACTCCAAGCGAGTCGTCGATGGCGAGCGCAAGATTGAATTCTTCAAGCTTCTGCCCCCTACCTCGGAGGGCCGCAAGTTTGAGACGCGTACCAAGGTTCTAGGCGTCTATGACAAGGGCCGCCCCGGAACCGTTCTGGAGACGCAGACCGACCTCGTCGACGCCGCCAACGGTGAAGTCTACACCCGCGTCGTCGGCAGCGCCTTCTTTCTCGGCCAGGGCGGCTGGCAAGGCCCCAAGGGCCCTGCGACCAAGAGCTTCCCCCCTCCCAAGGATAAGAAGCCCGACGCCGTGCTGGAGCACCAGACGACGCAGGAGTCCGCCCTCCTGTACCGACTCAACGGCGACTACAACCCTCTTCACGCTACGCCCGAGCCCGGGTCCAAGATGGGTTTTGGCGGTGCCATCATGCACGGATTGTACTCGTGGAATACGACGGCTCACCTCCTCCTCAAGAAGCTGGGTGGCGACGACCCGGCTAACATCAAGGAGTATCAGGCTCGCTTTGCCAGCCCCGTCAAGCCTGGAGATAAGCTCATCACGCATGTCTGGAAGACGGGAGAGTACAAGGGTGACTTTGAGGAGGTCCGCTTCGTCACACAGATTGAGGGTGGCAAAGTGTGCCTGAGCAATGGAAGGGCTCTCATCAGGACAGTCGGCGAGAAGAGCAAGCTGTAAAGGTCTCTGGTCTCTCTATTTGTAGGAACCAATGTGTGTGTTTGCGGTACATTAAATCGTACAGATAAACTGACATGATGTACCTAATTTACAAATTCTGTTCAAGGATGCGATTTCGATTACAGACATTCTAAAATGTTGTCATCGTCATTGCACGGTGACTTTCTAGTCCAGTCCCTTTTGGCGTCATTGGCCCCAGATGCGTGTATGTGGGGGGTTTCCAAGTGGCGGCGTTGAGCATCACCAATTCTCCCTCTCTCATCCTCCATCAACGTTCCACACTCATGCAGCGCTGCTCCGAGACATAAAATGACACAGCCCCTTCACGTCGGTCAGCGACTGTCGTATGATGGAGCCATCTGCACGGTGAGGTATATCGGTCAAGTCGCCGGCACCACGGGCACATGGCTGGGCGTTGAGTGGGACGACCCTCTGCGTGGGAAGCACCATGGCGTCCATGGCGGGAGCCGATATTTTACATGTACGTCGTTCACCATTTTTTTCGTTTCTTCTTTCTACTTCTATCATTCTTACACCTAGTACGCTGGTCTGACATAAAAAACCAGGCGTTTCTAACTCTCCCACGGCGGCGTCCTTTGTCCGCCCTACGCGCAAGTCAGAGGAACCGCGGAGTTTCATAACCGCCCTTAACGACAAATATGTGGTTGGGGTGGAAGACAGCTCAACCAAAGGGATTTACTTTTCGGGAAAAATTGCCGAGGAAGTCGGCTTCGACAAGATTCGCCGCCAGCAGGCCCAGGTCGAGGAGCTTCGCATAGTCATCCTAGATGGCATGTGCATCACCACGGCCCGGAATGAGGGGGAGAAGCGCATCAACGATGTGTGCCCAAGTATCAGGAAGCTCGACTTGAGCCGCAACCTCTTTGAGCATCTCGCTCCAGTCATCGACGTGTGCCGTGAGCTGCCTGAGCTGCGTAGGCTGTGCATCAAGTGAGTTGCCCCTTTCGGCCCAACAACTATCAAACTTGCTCTGACATCGGTGGGTGGAAAGTGGAAATCGATTCCAGGGAATCATGGAGGATGACTTTGTCGACGATATCAGCACATCCTGTGAGGGCGTCACGGAGCTGGAACTCGAGGACACACTGGCCGGCTGGGACGGTGTATGCCGTGTCGCTGGAAGCTGTCCCTCGCTGACGTCGCTGATTGCTGGGTCAAATCAGTTCTCCACCCTGCCCCCGGTCCAATACGCCACGAGCTTGACATCGAACCTGACGTCGTTGAAGCTCGAGTTCAACGAATTCACCGCACTGTCCGACCTAGCCAGTCTGACGGGGCTCACAGCCTTGCGTGACCTTCATCTCAAGGGTAACAATATCATCTCCCTATCACGCGAGGATGGTCCTCCCGCGCCTGTATTCCCCCCCTCGGTGCACTACCTCGACTTGTCGTACAACCAGGTCAAAGACTGGGCATTTGTCGACGCCCTGCCCACTCACCTGCCCGGTCTCAGGGGCTTACGACTCACGCACAACCCCATCTACGGAGCACTCGTCGATGATGGTGACGGCAGCAGCAACAAAACCTCCTCGACGGAGGACGCCCACATGTTCACCATTGCGCGCCTGGCACCGCTCAAATCGCTCAACTTCACGGCCATCGCGCCTTCGGACAGGGCAAACGCCGAGATGTTCTACCTCTCCCGCATAGCCAAGCAGCTTGCTGCGGTCCCTGAGTCGGCTGAGGACACAGTCAAGGCGCAGCACCCGCGCTACGCAGAGCTATGCGAGATTTACGGCGAACCCGACATCATCCGCCGCAATGAGGTTAACCCGTCGTTTCTCGAGTCCCGCCTAGTGACTGTCGCCTTCCAACTCCAGGGCCATGGGAAGAAGACGGCGAAGATACCCAGATCGTTCGATGTGTACGCTGTAAAGGGCATCGCAGGGAGGATGTTTGGTCTGCCGCCTCTGGGACTACGGCTAATCTGGGAGACGGGCGAGTGGGATCCTGTGGCGGGTGTGTATAACGAGGAGGATGAGGACGAATTGGACGATGCCGATCTAGAGGTGCCGGGTGACGAGGTGGAGTTGGAAGAAGACGAGAGCGGCAGCGGTAACAAGCCTGGGAGGTGGATCAAGAGAGAGGTGGAACTCAAAGACGGGCCCCGGCAGTTGGGATACTGCGTCGACGGACTAGATGCTACTATCCGTGTAGAAGAGAAATGAACACGTCTATCACATGATGATTCCGCTCCAATCTTTGGCTCTTCTCTGGGCGAGGTGTAATGTGACAGTGGGATAGGAAACTGTCGTACGGCAGAGTGGCGCGGGCCATGAAGAACAAGGGCAATTGTATACCCACGGTAGAAGGCAAACATTCATGTAGCTGACCGCAAGCTTTGTCCAACAGGGATATTTTCTTGTTAGCTTTATCTCTGTCCCTGTTTTGCTCCCTTCCTCCTTCCTCCCTGCCACTCTACTTCCTCCACTCTCTTGTTCTTCATCTTGACAAACACTTGGCTTGGTCAAAGGAAGCTGTACATATGTTTACTATTAGTGTACTTTCTACTTCTACTGCTATATCTCATCTTCTCATCTTGGAAAACACCTGCATCTTTTAAACGAGGACAGTACACCTCACTCGTCATTTCATTTCTTGCCACTACTGCTATCTCTTCGGAACAGCAAGAACAACAACGAAGGCGACGACGACGACAATAACAAAAGCACCATGGCTCTCGGGCCGCAATTCTTTATTATCCGCCGCCACGAGATGCAGACCATATCACCTGACGGCCAGACCATCTGCGAACAGACGCATACTATTGTGCCTCTCATTCCGGTCGACCTGCTACCTGAATGGGTCGAGGTATGCAGCGTACCTCGCCGGCTGGATCTCGAAGACACGACGGGAATGACCAACCTGGGAACGTTTGATGCGGCCGAGCAAGTCCTCGGTCTACAGTTTACCAATCCGCCACAGACGGGCGAGGATGCCAACAACAATAACAACAACAACAACAACAACAACAACAACGGCCCAGCTGTCTTAGAAAATGGCAACGACATATTCGAGGGGAAGAAGAAGCAGCAGGAAAGCTATGGCGTCAAAGAGGGAACATCAACGACTCACAGCAGGGACGCGGCCGTGTCGTCAGATCGGACGTACAAACCGCAGACGTGGAAGACGCCGCCACCACTTCAACAGCAGCCGCAGCAGCAAGAGGAGCAGGAGGAGCAACGTACTTGCCAAGCATGGTGTCACCACGGCATATGTCCCCGCGGAAAGAGGTGCCACTGGCAGCACCTGATGCCACAGACGAGGCAGGGTCTGAAGAAGATTGGCCTTGAGAGATTTCCGCCCTGGTACTGCCGCGCAACTAAACTAGCACCAGGAGCATCTCCAGCGACAAGCAGGGGGGCAGAAACCGTGTCGGCATGGGCACAGACACGGGCACAATCACAAGCTCCGAGACGCATATCGTCAGCGATGAGGAACCCAGCTTCAGGTCCGCCGCCGTCAGCATCTAAGTGGGTGAGCAGGTGGAAGAAGGGGGAGCAGCAGCAGCAGCAGCAGCAACAAGAGCCATTGTCATTGGAGGAAGGGCAGGACCAGATTGATGGTCATACGCTGGCCCAAGATGGCAACGGGACAGGCAAGGACGATACCCGAGGGGGTCATGATACAGGCGTGGATATTGACGGTGATAGATATCATCATGTTTATGATGGGTCTGGCGAGGAATCGCTTATTTGAGGGGGTTTGGTGTATATTGGTGTCATGAAGTGGGGGTGGGGGAGGGGGGGCGCAAGGGGGAGAAGAAACGAGAAAGAGGAGAATAACAATGACGTTTAGTGAAATTTGTGTTGTACTATTGACGAAGACGGAAGATTGTCGATGGGTAAAATGAAACGAATTGTCGGGCTGTTTGGTTCATCGGTCCGCAGTTAGTGGTAAATCCGACAGATTGAAGTCCGTCGGATTTGTCGACACAGTGGGCGTCGGGATTAAGTGGCATGCGCTAACACTCTTTCCCGATGGTCCAGAGGGCAGATGAAGGAGTTGAGTTGAATCGAGACAGGAATATATCGCGCGCGGGGATAAGATATTCGTGCCGTAGGTAACGCAGTATGATTACAACTAGAGAACTCCACAGAAGTAGAATGAGTGGGCTGTTGATGATGGGATATCATTGAAAAAGGAGTATAAATAATGTTGGCGACCCTAGAGAGAGAACAAGGATATATATTCCCGATCTGGGGTAAGACGATTGTGATGATTGAATTCCTAACATCTACACGCAACATACATGCTACAGTACAATACACGTCACTGAAATGCCTCGAATTTTGGACAAGACAGTCGGTCCCATTGGCTTTGGCCTCATGGGTACGTCCCACACCATCCTTTCTCTCCCGATACACAACAAATGAACAAAGAAGAAGGAAGGAGGGGAAACAGCTGACGTCTTCGTAGGTCTCAGCTGGCGACCAGAACCGGCACCCCTCTCGCAGACGCTTGAGACGCTCAAGGCGGCCATCGAGAGCGGGGCAACATGCTGGAACGGCGCCGAGTTCTACGGAACACCCGAGTACAACTCGATGACGCTGCTCAAGCACTACTTCACAAGGTACCCGGAGGACGCATCCAAGATCACGCTGATCATCAAGGGGGGCGTCAACGTCAAGACCCTGTCGCCCGAGGGTTCCCCCGAGGCCATCCGTCGGTCGGCCGACAACATCCTGGAGCAGCTGGGCGGCGTCGTCAAGGTGGATATGTTCTGCATCGCGCGCCGCGACGCCAGGTCCGACTTCTCCCAGACCCTGTCTATCCTGCAGAGGGAGTACGTCGACACGGGCAAGTTCGGCGGCATCTCGCTGTCCGAGTGCAGCGCCGCCACCGTCCACGAGGCCGTCAAGCACGCGAACATCACCGGTGCCGAGGTCGAGTTGAGCATGTTCAGCCCCGACATTCTCAGGAACGGTGTTGCCGCTGCCTGCGCCGAGCACGACATCCCCGTGATTGCCTACTCGCCCATCGGACGTGGGGTAAGTTTCGATACCTCTCTTTACTGTCAAACACCACGCACGGATACACACTTTCTCTCTCTCTCGCTCTTCGCTTCTTTTTTGATCTAATCGCTTTGCATGCATGTAGCTTCTCACCGGTAGAATTAAGTCTAAGAGCGACGTTGCCCATCTGGGCCACATCGGCAACCTACCCCGCTTCCAGGATGAGAACATAGCGCACAACCTCCGTCTTGTCGAAAAGGTCGAGGCCATCGCCGCCAAGAAGTCCTGCACGCCTGCCCAGCTGGCCATCGCCTGGGTCAGGAGCGTCAGTCGCCGCCCTGACATGCCCACCGTTGTGCCCATCCCAGGTGCCACCACCGCCAGCAGGGTCAAGGAGAACTCGACCGTCATCGAGCTCAGCGACGCCGATGTTGAGGAGATCGACAGCATCCTCGACGGTTTCGAGACGGCTGGCAGGCGGTACCCTGCCGGGGCTCCCATAGAGACTTAGGCGGTATCTAGAGGCTATTTCATCTGTGGCCCGAATTGTAATTAGGATTCATCTTTCGGCAAAGTAAACAGACTCGTAGATATGAATGAATCTTCATGAAAAGAAGAAAAGAGGGGTATAGGTTCAGCTGTGTTATTGTCCACACATACTAGCCAGAACATTGGGATGCTCGTGGCTAGTTCGGAATTGCAGAATTCTTACTTGAAGAATGACATCATGTAGAAGAAGAAATGAGCGGAAAGAAGGAATAAGAAAAAATCCTTTAGGGACTCACCATTTCATTGCAACATTTTTGCACGCAAGGCTGTATTGATACCTGTAAGCATTGAGGTTGGATAATAGTAAGAAGTTGGAGAGGTAAAAAAATTATTCTGGGCGAAATCTACGGAGTCTATACATGTGGTACCTTAGGTAGAGGACCGGTATATAGTTAGGCCGAGCCGCCGAGCAATTCCCACCCCGTATTGTCTACCACAACAACATTCTGTCGAGCATTTGTTTTCAGAATGCAGCCTTTACTAGAATTGATAGACAGTACTCAATATAGTTTTGAGGCTCTATTATGACTACAAGATTTCGAAACATCTTCTTTCCTTGACCAGTATGATGAAACAGCTGTCCCTTTTTTTTCCCCTGCAGCCTGCCACAAAACCAGCATGCCTGATAAATATGCTACAAGGAGAATAGAAAATGGCAAGAGAAAGAGAAGTCGAAGAAGAAAAGAAACAAAAACCAAGGAAGGAAGGGGAAAGGGGAAAGAGTTAAACTACCATGACTTCATTCATACCCACAGCATCCACGCGGTTAACCAGCTTCTTAACATTGGTCCAGTCCTCGTGCTTGAGGTTGTCCTTGCCACCGAGCCCACTGGCGACCTCGAAGACGGAGATTGTGCCGTCGATACCGCCCGTGGCGAGGCGCTTGCCGTCAGTGGGCTCCCAGGCCAGCTTGTTGAGGCTCTTCGACAAGAGAGTCTTGTTGTTCTGGCACGAGCTGGGGGAGATGCGCGAGACGGGCTCCTCGGTGTCGACCGAGATGTCCCAGACCTCCAGCCAGCCGGCACCGTCGACGAGGGCGAAGACGCTGGGCTTGACGGGCGACCATTTGGCGTCGTAGACGACATCCTCGCGCACAAAGTCGATGAGGGGGGAGATGATGCCGTTGCCCGTGCCGACGGTCGAGGCGGCGGCCGGCGCGCGAACCTTCCACAGCTTGACGCTCCAGTCGAGTGACGACGATATAACTAGGTCGCCGAGGTCCACGGGGCCCTTGGCTGGGTGGAAGTCGACCGACATTACGGGCGCCGTGTGGCCCTTGTAGGCAATCTTCTTGTCCACGCCCGCCTTGGCGCCGGCCCTGTCGTACCGGTGGCACGGGAAGATCGTGCCCTCCTCGCTGCCGACGAGGAAGAAGGTCGGGTCCGTCTGCGGGAACGACAGGCATGTGGGGCTCACGTCCTCGACGGCCACCTTGGCCTGTGTAGGGTTCTTGAGCTCCAGCAGCTCCTGCGGCTGCGCGAATACATCCATGCTCCACCCGCAGACGACGCCGTCGGTCGAGCACGAAATGATGTTGTTGGCGTTTTGTGTGCCGACAATGTCGACCGAATAGATGGGGTGAGCGTGGCCAAAGCCCGTCAGCGGCGTCTTCTGCACCGGTGCCGACTTGGCACGTGTGTCCCATAGGAGCACTTGCCCGCTGTACGAGCCGCCGACGATCAGGTTGGGGTGGTAAGGCGAGAATTTGGCCGTCAGGATGTCCGACTGCGCCGTGAAGACGTACTCGGGCCGGTCGTGCATGTGCATGCTCCACACCTGCACCAGACCGTCGGGCTCGTGAGGGGCCGTCGGGTTCTTGGTGTACGAGGCAAGCATCAGCTCCGTGAACTTGGGCGAGAAGTCGATGCAGCTAATCATGCGCTTCTTGGACCACCGCCCGTCATAGAACTGGGCCACTTCCTTTATCCTGTGTTTGCCCCGGCCGCCCGTATTGCCCGCCTCATCATCATCGTCGTCGGCCTCCTGGCCTTGCAGCGCGTAGTCGGTCAGGATGTCGTACGTCTCCTGGTCAAAGGCTCTCTCGATGACCTTGGTCGACTTCTCCAGGAAGTCGAAAAAGTCTTCGGACCCGATGACGGCTGTCAGCTCCTCCTGCGTCAGATCCCGCGACGGGTAGTTTGCTTTGGCGCCCTCAGGCGCCATCACACCGTCCGTCACGTACTCTTTCGCCGCTCGCAGCTCGTTTTCGACCTCGTCCCGGATCTTCTGCCGCAGCTCCTCCTCCCGCTCCCGCTCCTTCCTGCTTAGACGCTGCTTGCTTGGCGACATGACTGTCGTCCCTGGTATGTCGTCCGTATCCGATGTGCCCGCCTGCGACATTGGCCTGTTGGGACCCGTCCATTCCTCCGTCGTCTGAACGCCCTTGCTGTACGAGAAGACCTCCTTGACCGGCGACGGCGGGCACTCGTATACTGTCGTCAGCGGAGCTGTGCTCAGGGATATCGGCTGCACGGGCAGCGCCGGTGTCGACGGGATCTCGGATGTTCCATTGCTGATTTCACCTGCGCTCAGCACGCTGCTCGGCCTACTTCCTCGCGGACCACCTGGCGAGCCTACTCCGCCGCTTGTTGAGCCCGGTCGGCTGTCGCCCAGAAGGTCATTGATGATGGTTTCGATCTGACGGCGGCTGTCTGCCCTTGAGGTACCAGGTAGCTTAAGCTACACATGTTCGACAAAGAAGTCAGCAACCTGCTATACTGCTCAGGATATATGGGCAGGGAGGGGGCAAGAGCCAGCGACGAACCTCACTGGCACTCCCAAAACTCTGACGGCCGGAGTTGGCCTGCGAGGCTCGGAGCTCCCTTTGTCGCTTAAGCTCGGCGAGCTTGGCAGTTTTTGCGATAATCTCTTCTCGTCGTTGTTGCATTTTTAGTTTGCTCTCAAAGTCCCATGTCGGGACCAACACGTATGGTGTGTGTCGTTCTGTCTCAGTTGGCACACCGGATTTCCAACTTGGCGTCAATCAAGTGTGGTCGCACAGCGGCCTGAAGATGGTCGCAAATCTGATGAAGAAGCTCAGGCGAAAGGTGAACGACGAAGGGACAGGGATCGGGGTCAAAACGTTTCGAACGAGTGTCCAAAGGTCGGTAGTGCGGCGTAGTGTGGTAAAGGAGAGCGCGTCTCGTCTATGCGCGTGGCGATCACTGGTTAGAGCAGCACCCCCAAGAAGCTCCACCTAAGGGCCGTTCTGGAGTCTAAAAACGGGTTCCTGTAATAATACTGAGCTTCTAGGGGGGTGGGCTGCTGTAATTCACGTGACTATATATCCAGGAACAAGTACATGTACGACGGCATGACATTGAGAGAAGGCCGCAGTAACCTTACCCCGTTAACTGAATCCATGAGATATGAACGGGGATCTCATATATAAATACTCCGCAACGCTTGATTGTTGTTCATCAGTAGTATAAGTACTGCTAGTAATAATAGTAGGCAAGTTGGTAGGTGATTTTTACCCCGTGGGAGAGAATATAAAAGCGCGGTTCTACGCCACACGTGGCGGTGCGTGGATGGCTGTGGGCTGCCTGGTCAGGAAAACTGCGACTTTTCCCGAGGAGCTTTTTGAAATCTTGCCATCTCCAGCCAACGATACAACCTCCCCGAGCCACCTTTGGATAGGGCCAATTGATAAACACTGTTCGGCCCCTCGTTTCGTCTCCTCTCCATCAGTTTTCTTCATTTCGGTAGCCGACAGTCGCCCTGCACTTCCATTACCGCGACAATGACTTCGACCGGTGTTAACGTGCGTGCAATTCCATCCGTCCATCCGCCGCCCTTTTTCAAGAATCCCCTCGCGTCGTCATTCGCGACGATACGCCGCGGGTGCGCGCACATCGGAAGCAGTTGCGCGCCTTGGAGGGGATCGGCTTGAGAGAGGTATTGTCCGGCTGAGCCGTGGTTGAAACTGACATTCGTTATCTGGCAAACAGGTTCTTCGGTGGTCCACCCTCGCCTTTGGTGTCTTCTACGGATTCACCCACCAGCGGAGCATCACGGGAGCGCAGAAGGCCGAGCACCTCAAGCACGAGTTCGACCGAAAGCAGAAGCAGATTGACCTAGCCAAGGCCGAGTACGCCAAGAAGATTAACCCTCCCGCGCCTGCATCCAGCAGCGATGGTACGTTATATGTTCCCTACCGACAGCTGCCTCCTTTGTTTTTTTGCGGTTGCTGTCTTATGAACTCCCCCCTCCCTCGCAAAGTAGTAAGACGGTATCGACGACGGCATATATGCGGCAATTATACATGGTGGTCGATAATACTAACTGCCCTCTTCTATCCAGTGGTAACCGACCCTGCCGACCCCAAGTTCGACCTCGAGAAGCTGCTGCTCAAGGTCGCCGAGGACAAGGCTTAATCAAACAATATTTCCTACGGAATGTAAAGTGTTGATGAGAGTGGATGGGAAGGGAGAGAGGAGGAAGGTGACGATGGAGAGGGCTGGATAGGAAACCATACGTCCAGACAGGCGGCAGAGATGGGTTGTTTTCCTATCCGGCCAGGTCGATCTGGTCAGCGCTGGTCTTGCCATACCCATCGTGACGGCCAAGCGGTCACTGCATAGAAATTTCCTTTAGTCCTGTCCCTGTTATAGTACAGGTGTAAAATACAACATCTAGACGATATATTGGGTTCGATATCGGTGCGTTTGATGCGTGATTTGGTGTCTGATGTCAAGGGCGATGATGACCGGTTGCCTCGGCACTGCAGGAGGCTGGATGATAGATGGCAGACATTCGTAGTATTACCGGCCACCTGTTGATATACAACATGAAAGGAAGGGAACGCGTGAATATTTTCACTCTCGGGCAGGCAAAACCCCATCATGCCTTGGTTTCTATATTCTGCTGCCAGTCAGCCACCTGCTACAATACCATTACTTGCTCTGCTTCAGATGTGCCCCCCCCCGTGATGAATTTGCCAACAGCTGTCACTCATTCCAGAGCAAAATGGCTAAACCGCGGGGAAAGATGCCTGGACCAGCACCGTAGGTTAGAGAATTAGTGGGAGGCTACAAAGGCGTGTGTGCCACCCCTCAAGTGTGGCAAGTGCCCAGGGGTGCCCCAGTGCTAAAAGCCTGTGGAGGCCCTGGAGGAAGGACCTGGACCGACTCGTCACCTACGACTCACCAGTATTATTACTCAGGGAGAGAGAGAGAGGCAACGCGGCATTGCCCCACAAAAAGGGAAGCGCATCATTCTCAAGCTCCAAGCTGTCCTCTCTGCTCTGCTGGCTTGTCGTCAGCGGATTTCCCAATCGTCTGGAGAGGAAAACAACCGCCCACCACCAAAGACCCCTCGACATACAAGTAGGCAATCGCATCACACTGCGCTTGCCCTCAAGGTCGTTTGTCCAGAATGGCGGGTGACTCCAAGCCTCTGGTCTCAGATACCACTGCCAGAAACTCGCGAACTCTCCTGCGAGTTGTCATTCTCTGTTTCATTGCCGCTGCTGCCATTGCCAGCCGTCTATTCTCTGTTATTCGTACGTAACCGACATCGTCAACTACTTCGCACATCTTGCTCTTCTTCTTATTGCATATACTAACTCGATTTACACTCTCTCATATAGGTTTTGAAAGCATTATCCACGAGTGTTAGTTCTCTTCCATGAAACGAAGCCCGCGATACTCTTCTTCCCTGTGTCTTCTTCAACMCCMCCMCCMCCCCCCCCCCCCCTCTCCACACACACACATACGCATACCCACGTATACTGACTTGGCCTTAGTTGATCCGTGGTTCAACTTCCGAGCGACCAAATATCTCGTAGCCAATGGCTTTTACAAATTCTGGGACTGGTTCGATGATCGGACATGGCACCCTCTTGGCCGTGTGACGGGAGGAACCCTCTACCCGGGTCTGATGGTCACCAGCGGCGTCATCTACCACGTCCTCAAGGCCCTGGCTGTTCCCATCGACATCCGCAACATTTGCGTCCTCCTGGCCCCCGCCTTCTCCGGCCTGACGGCCTTTGCCGCGTACCTGCTCACCAATGAGATGACCACGTCCCCCTCGGCTGGTCTCCTCGCCGCCGCCTTCATGGGCATCGCCCCCGGCTACATCTCCCGGTCCGTCGCCGGCAGCTACGACAATGAGGCCATCGCCATCTTTCTCCTTGTATTCACCTTCTACCTGTGGATCAAGGCTCTCAAACTCGGCTCCATGCTCTGGGGTGCCCTCTGCGCCCTTTTCTACGGATACATGGTTGCTTCATGGGGTGGATACGCCTTCATCACTTGTATCCTGCCCCTCCATGCCCTCGTCCTCATATGCATGGGCCGCTACAGTAACCGCCTCTACGTCAGCTACACCACCTGGTATGCTCTCGGAACGCTTGCTAGCATGCAGATCCCTTTTGTCGGCTTCCTGCCTGTCAAGACGAGCGAGCACATGCCCGCTCTTGGTATGATCTCCTCACGATGCTGTCTCTGCAGTCCTTGTTATTAACGATGCCCTTCTACAGGAATCTTCGGCTTCGTCCAGCTCATTGGATTCATCCAATATGTGCGCTCAGCCCTTTCTGGCAAGCAGCTGCAGACCTTTCTCGTCACGATTCTCGTCGCCACATTTGGTCTCGGTCTGGCTGGCCTCGTTGGCCTGACCTCGCTGGGCTACATTGCCCCCTGGAGCGGTCGCTTCTACTCGCTTTGGGACACCGGATACGCCAAGATTCACATTCCCATCATTGCCTCGGTCTCTGAGCACCAGCCCACCGCCTGGCCCGCCTTCTTCTTCGACCTCAACATTCTTGTTTGGCTGTTCCCTGTCGGTGTCTATCTGCTCTTTCAGGAGCTCAAGGATGAGCACGTTTTCGTCATCGTGTACGCCCTGTTTGGCAGCTACTTTGCCGGTGTCATGGTGCGCCTGATGCTCACGCTCACGCCCATTGTCTGCGTTGCCGCTGCTATCGCCGCTTCACAGCTTCTCGATAACTTCCTCACCCGCAAGCCTGCCGGGGCTGAGGCGGTGTCGAGCGACAAGAAGTCGTCCAAGGGTGGTCTTCGCTCTACTCAATCGCCCAAGTTTGGCGTTTACTCGCTGCTGTCCAAGATCATCGTTGTCGGCTCCGTTACCGTTTACCTCCTGATGTTTGTCTCTCACTGCACCTGGGTCACATCTAATGCCTACTCGTCACCCTCTGTCGTCCTTGCCAGCCGCATGCCCGACGGCAGCCAGCACATCATTGACGACTACCGTGAGGCCTACCAGTGGCTCCGCCAGAACACCAAGGAGGACGCCAAGATCATGGCCTGGTGGGACTACGGCTACCAGATCGGTGGCATGGCCGACCGCCCAACCCTGGTGGACAACAACACGTGGAACAACACGCACATTGCCACTGTAGGCAAGGCTATGGCTTCCTCCGAGGAGGTCAGCTACCCCATCATGCGCCAGCACGAGGTCGACTACGTCCTGGTTGTCTTTGGTGGTCTTCTGGGCTACTCCGGCGATGACATCAACAAGTTCCTGTGGATGGTCCGTATCGCCGAGGGTATCTGGCCCGACGAGGTCAAGGAGCGCGACTTCTTCACCCCTCGTGGTGAGTACCGTGTTGACGAGGGTGCCACTGACACCATGAAGAACAGCTTGATGTAAGATGATTCCCCCCACTCCCCTCTGTCTGACGTCACTCCTACTAACACCCTTTCTTCGCCAACCCTCTAGGTACAAGATGTCCTACTACAACTACCACTCCCTCTTTCCCCCCGGCCAGGCTACCGACAGGGTCCGTGGCGTCCGTCTTCCCGATAAGGGTCCCGTACTTAACACGCTCGAGGAGGCCTACACGTCTGAAAACTGGATTATCCGTATCTACAAGGTCAAGGACCTTGACAACGTGGGACGTGATCATGCCGCCGCCGCCGCCTTTGATCGCGGCCAGAAGAAGAAGGCGATCAAGAAGAAGGGCGCTCGCACGCTGCGGGTGGACTAAATCATGATACGGAATGGAAAGGGGCTAGGATCAGGGGAGAGGATCAGGAGGAGTGTCAGCAGTGAGTTTCTTTTTTTTTCCGGAACGGCAGATATAAAGGGATTACTATTGGTATGGTCCCATGTATAGAGAGAAACGTGCATGAAATGTATTATGTATACCACCAACCACCATAGCCATCGCCGCCATCATGAGACCAGAGCGCAAGCATCAAGAGCAGTGAATCACTGTAGCTCCAGTTGGAACTAGCACCATTAACCAGTGAGCCAGGCTATTGTTCTTCTGTCATCCCGCCTCTCCGTCACTGCCCAGGCAACCGTTACCACCTCACCAACATCTCCAAACTGGCAGACCGGCAGCCCCTTTGGGCAACTGGTAACCTGACCGTTTTGACCCAACTCGTGTGGTATTCAAACAAGATTTTCTCTTGGAATGAGAATTTATCGGTGAACCACAGGCTGTGCAAATATAGAAACCTCATATCTCTCTGATACGGCATACGCTTTGGAAAAAATCTTGTCACCAGCTAGAAGGGGAGACCAAGAGAGAGGGACTGTAAATCACAGTGCTCTCTTCCATCCTGACTTTTCGTCTCTCCTTTTTTTTTTCCCCTGTTTAACTACAACTTCTATTTTTTTTGTTACTGTTCGATTCAAAGAACCCCCTTTACATCTGGTTGCTCGGCAGCCTTTGTTATTTGGCTGCCGCCATGGTCCTCAACAAGAAGAGTCTATGGAAGCGTCGTGACAAGAACAGCAACGAGCCCGAGCTTGACGTCTTATCCATGACCTTCAACATGCCGACGCGGAGGGACTTTGACAGATCAGCAAAAAGACCGCAGTCTAAAGACGAGAACACAAATGAGACTGACACGGATGAATCCATGTATATAGAGTCATCCTCGTCTTCGTCGCTGTCGTCGTCATCCTCCTCCTCCTCTTCGAGCATACAGGACAGTCCTACCTGGTCCGAGAAAGACGATGAGCGGCCTGTCACTCCGCCTCGAGAGCGCTCCAAGCGAGAGAAGAAGGGAAAGAAGAGGAAGGAACAGCAAAGAAAGTTGTCTCCTAACCCTAAGAAGAAACAGTGCCTGAAGTACGTCGAGGAGGAAGACAAGTCCCCTCGCCGCGGAAACCTCGCATCCGTTCGCCGTTCCAAGAGACACAAACGGTCCAAGGCGGTATCTTTACCACCCATCACCACTGCCAAGTTTCCCTCCTCCAAAGCACCCTCCACGCCTTCGACTACAGTCGCCACCCCGGGTTCTTCAATGGTTTCGTCAGCTTCGCTGCTGGGGGCTCCCCTTTACAACGGTGGTGGGATCGTCCTGCCAACATACGGCCCGCCACCGGCCGAGTCCGCCTATGTCCAAGTACCGCCGGGCTTTGCACAGGCTTACCAGCAAGCAATGCCAATGTTTGGTGGTCAGGGTCACTTCGCAGCTGCTGCTCCTCCGCATCCTCATCCAGTCTTTGCTCCATGCCCCCCATCTTGGACGCCACCAGTTGGTGGTAGTAGCAGCCAGAACCAGATTCCCACAATCCAACGGGAGCTTCATCGCCTCCAGGCCCTGCTCGACGGCAAGATTGCGGCTCTCGGTCTGCATCCCGGCAGTGAAGACTTGCAGACCCAGGTCAGGATGCTCCGCTCACAGATAAATACCATCATGGACAAGCAGCACGCCAGGGTTGGGGTTGGCAGCAACAGCCCGCGAAACAACAAGTCTACTTCGATTGCAGAGCCACTGCCGACCAAGGAGGAGATGTCGTCAGAATCCAGAGAAGGGACGGCTCAAAACCGCCACCAGTGCTCGGGTTGTGGGAGCGTCCGCTCACGCAGATATCACCTCAAGCACCCACTCGAGCAGGGCAAGCCCATCTTTCCCAACCTGTGTGAGTCGTGTCGCCACAGGGAGCACAGAAGAAGTGCCACGAGGTCGGGAGCCCAGCACATCTGCTTCAGCTGCGGGATATACAGGTCCCAGAACTTCCATAGGAAGCACCACATCATCCCCGGTGGCGGTATGTTGCTCAACTACTGTTCGCGTTGCCAGGTTGAGAAACGTGCTGCCGAAGAGGCGGCAGCTACTGAAGAGGTGAAAGCTAAAGAGACGGTTGTCTCATCTGAGCTTGTAGGTTTTCTGATCCTAGCTTCACCACGCTCATCCACCTATTGACCCATTGTAACAAGCAGTATGAGCCCGAAGCTACAGAGCTTCAGAGGGGGGGGGAAGAAGAGGCCCGAGCTCCCATCCGCCCCAACAGCCTTCCCAAGCGACACGCTTCCACCTCTTTGTCCCACGGTCCCAGCCATATCGACAGCCCTCCCAAGAGAGAGGCTTCCTCGTCTGCCCGGGGCCCGAGTCGCTACCGAGCTCCCTTTGTGGAAGACGGCTTGAGCAACAGTCTGTCTGACAAGTCGGACGTAAAGAAGCGCAGACTGCGCAGTGCCACTGCCACTGCCACTGCCAATCCATCCACGACCAAGCCCGACGACGACGATGTTCTGCCCTCCGGGGCTCCATCACCCTCCCGATCCCACGGCGGCATTAGCCCATGCAACCTCACCGACTCCTTCAGCTCAGCAGGAAGCAAGACGGTCAAGTTCGACGACGAGACGACAGAATATGAGGACAAGACGGGAAGGCGGTCTCCCCCGCCGACGTCCTTCTCCCGGGGCGCATTCAGCGGCTTCACCCCAAAGGACTTTCACACGGACAGCAAGGCAACGGGTGGGGATGGGCTCATTGACGAGAGCTTCCCGTCGTCCCGTCACTCGTTCCACCACCACCAGCAGTCGCCTCTCCGGAGCGCATTCAGCTCCTTCTTCCGCGATGCCCCGAGTGACTTTGGCGCGAGGATGAGTCGTGCTACCACTTCGCAGCTCTCCGCCCCCCCTCACAACCCGGAGTCAACCCGCCACCACAATCGCCGCCAAGAAGGTTTCGACGACGGCGGCGGCGGCGCTGGTCCTTGTTATGGGCAGCAGCAGCAGCAGCAGCAGACGCGCCCGGCCTCACCGATCTCGTTCTCCTGGACCGGCGGTGCCTTCTCGTCAGGCGGGCGAACATTCTCCAACGGCCCGGGAACCGAGAGCGACGGTTTCTACTCCGGCTCATCGCCCGAGCAGAATCGCAACCATGACTGTGCCCGGGGCAGGAGCAGGATCAACAGCAACAGAGCCAGCAAGAACCCTTACTACACGCCTCCTCAGCCGACGCCGTACTTCTTCTTCAACACGACGAGTGCTTCTTCTGCTGCCGCCACTGCCGCCGCCACCGCCGCCGAGTCAAGCGGGTATTATGGTGAAGGCAGGATGAAGAGGAAGAAGAAGAAGAAGAGGAAAAATGATTGCTATTGTGATGGTGACGAGATGATTTCTCAGCCGGAGATTGAAGAGGCTGAATCTGCCATGTCTTCTCCCATTATTCTAGCCAAGCTGATCGGTAAGCTTTTTTCAATGCCTTCTTTTTCTTTTTCTTTTTTCTTTTCCTTTTCCTCTTCTGCTTTGTCCTTTCCTCTTTCCAAGAATTCGAGCCGTTCTAACACATCCAGATTATCATGTTATTCCTGGACTCGAGTTGCCCGAGTCAGACTCTTCCGTGGGTGACTCTCCATGAAGAAAAGAAGCTCTCGGCTTCAATCTACTTGACAAGGAAACGAAACGGGTATTTCCTTCTCTTCTTCTTCATCCAACGTTGCAAGCCAAATGCTCCTTCTTCTTCACCATACCTGTTGTTCTTTACACATACGACAGAAGATTCTCGTCTACAAGAGACCAGCACACTTTTCTTTCTCTCTCTCTGTGGAAAATATTCCTTCACATCTCCTTGTTATATGTACGTCTTGTCACGAGCAGTCAGTGCTCTTTTTTTTTCGTTTTTTTGCAACCCCGTTTTGCAAGGCATACATACTCCTCCGACAAATTACATCTCTTCCTTCTGATCATTCTTCATCTCCTGCATCTTTTCCATCGTTCTTCAATATTTATTTCCGTTTCTCTTCCTCTTGTTTTCTGTTTGCATCCAGCTTCCGCTGTCTGCTCCGACTCTTCATGTACTGCCCGACCTGTCATGACATTGTATTCATTCTTTTCCGTCTTCGATCTTCTGGTCTCCTGAATTAAAGAAGAGAAAAAAGGGAAACGTGAGCGCGAGAATGAGGAGGGGAAAGAAAATGTCTTGTCTGTTCTTGTTCTTCTTTACCTAGCACTGTCCTTCTGCTATTCTTCTCTACCTAGCACTGTCCTCTTCTGCTGCTCTTCTTTACCTAGAGGCTAGCATTGTCTTCTGCTGTTCCCAGCAGCTTCCGACATATCAAGTCAGCGTCGCTTTCGAACAACATAATATAAACACTCTCACAACACATATGAGAATCCCAAAATGATTTGGTGGAAAAAAAAAAGAGAATGGCCTGAATGTGAGTTTATCCAATGAATAAGTTGTCTCTACTCTAAATGACATCCTCCAGAGTTACCCTACGTGATTTTGATGTTTCGAATACACTATTTTTTTTGTAGAGATTCTTGGTTTCTTCATTCCATCATGATTTTGTGTCCCCCCCCCACACCCACCCTCGGCAATACCCTCCATCCCGTCAGGTATAAATCCTCGAAGTATTAAGTAAACTAGCATGCGATCCATCCTTGGTAGATGATGCCGTCACAATCCCAGCCGAAGCAGCCCTGGCCGACCGGTGCTTCTGCGCCTGCTGCGCGAGAATGCTGACCGCCTCGGCCCTCTGCACCTCGAAGGCGTCGCTGCGCTCCCTCTCCCTGTGCACCGACAGCTTCCGCCTGACGAGGTCGTTACTCGCGTCTTCCCTGCGGCGCCTAATCTCTGCCGCTTCACGGGCGCGCCTCTCCGCCCTACGGCACGCGTCGTCCAGCTTCCGGCTTGCTTCGGGGGACGCCATATCCAGGCCCTGTGCTTGGCCGCTGCCGGCGGCGGAAGCAGAAGCTTCGGGGGAGAGACCGCGGGAGGAGGAGGAGGAGGAGGAGGAGGAGGATGCACCGCCCCACAAGCATTGGAATGTCAGGGTAGTCTGCTCAAGCCCGTTGGGTTTCCCCCATATGACGAGGACATCTCCGTCGTGGAGGCGTGCCCAGTTGCGCGATAGACCAGACGGGGTCGTCGCTTCGCGGGAGGGCAGTTCGTGTCCGTTCACGTGGATCCCCACCGTAGCCTTCGTCGAGATCCAGAACGAGTACTCGCTGGCTTTGGCCGTCGACGAGGACCAGGGGTAGGGCGCCCGGGGCAGCGCCTCATCGCCCTCGCGCCACACGGCGATGTCGAAGGCGAACTTGGGCACCCGGCGCTCCCTGGACGCGCGGAACACCTGCGTGTTGTCGGGGTGCCGGCCGAACGATACGAGGGGTTCCGTGATGGAGAAGGATATGTCTTTGATGCACGATCTGGCGTGCGACTGGATCAGGCCCACCGCCCGGGCGGGCGACGCGCCGCTGTGCACGGGCACGACAATCTGCTGCTGCTCCTGGGGGGAGGGATTGGGCACGGGCGTGTGGACGTGGTCTGCTAGAACCGCCGTGGAAGGGATACCGTCGCCGGCCTGGGATGATGTAGGCGGCGACGTCATCGTGCTCGTCCTGGTCGTCGCTGCTGTTATTGTTGTCGTCGTGGCTGCCGTCGTCGACGGGAAGTACCGCATGGCCAGGTCCCAGAGGGGGGTCCTGCCCGGCTCGAAAGTCTCGCCTCTCATCTTGGCCGCCTGCTGGAAGGCCGTCGTCTGCAGCTGCGTCATCTCCGGGTAATCCAGGTGCCATGTCGACTTGTCCTGCTGCCAGTATACCACCTTGTCGACGGGCTCGTCAATCTGCCGGCCTGACTCGGATCTCTTGACTGCCGGTACGCAGGCAAGCAGTTTGGCCTCGGCCATGTCATCCATGTAAATATCGGACTTGAGCCTCTTGAGGACCGGGTGCCCGTGCGGAACATGCTCGTCACTCGTGTCGGCTGACGGGGGCGGCTTCCTCTTGCTAGCTGTCACGTCCGAAATAGAATAGCAAGACGACGCCGGACCCGGGGTTGCTGCAGGTGCCGGTGCCGGTGTTTGTGCTTGTGCCGGAGCTTGTGCTTGTGCTTCACTGCCGTCATCACCGCCGCCACCATTTCCCCCAAGGCTCTGCGATGCTACATTCTCCACCAGACTCTGCAGCTGGTCGTCAGACTGGCGACGCTGTCCAGCGTCGGCACCACCGTTGTCGTCATCCTCTACAGGACGATACGTCCTAGTTCCGGCAGGCGTGCCCTCGTAGAGGCTCGAATCCTCGCGCAGGCTGACGGGTAGGTTGAGGAAGTTGTCGTGAACGGCACCGGAGCTGCCGACGGCCGAGCTGCCGACCTCACCAAACAGCCTCTGCTGGGCGCCGTCGCCGTCGTCGTCGTCTTCCTCGCCCATGGAGTCCAGGATACGATCCTCCTCCTCGTCGTGCTCCAGCTGAGCGTCCCACTTCCCGCCAACCTGCTGCTCGTGCTGGCTCTGGACGTAGGCGGCCAGGTCGTCGTCGTCTGTCATGTCATCGTAGGACTGGGAGGCCTCGATGATGGAGCCCTGGCCGCGGAACCAAGCGTGGCTGTCGAGGTCGGCAATCGTGGCCCGGTTCTCGGGCTTCCTCTGAAGCATGCGGGAGAGGAAATCGACGCCCGCGTCGGAGACGCCGGCGGCGAGCAGCGGCCTGACGTCGAGCTTGGTGGTCATGATCTTATGCAGGAGCTCCGAGTAGCTGATGCCGGAGCTGACAGGGTAAGGCGGCGACTTTGTGAGGCAGAAGTACAGGACGCCGGCCAGGGACCAGATGTCGATGGCGTGGCTGTACCGCTGACCCGGCACGCGGCGCATCTTCTGTCCCCGGTTGCGGTAACCGTTGTCATCGTACTCGACATACTCGGTGTAGACCTCGGGGGCGCAATAGAGGAGGGTGCCGCAGAAGGTGCGCAGGAAGGTCTGCTCGCTGTCCACCATCTTGGACAGGCCGAAGTCGGTCAGCTTCACCTCGATGGGCTCCACCGACTTGACCAGGATGTTGTCGGGCTTCACGTCGCGGTGCGTTATGTTCTTCTGGTGTAGGTACTCGAGCGCGCTCAGCAGCTGCCGCGCCATGCTCTGCGTTACGTCCTCTGGTAGCGGGCCGTTGGCGCCAACGAGGTGGCCCAGGTCGCCGCCGGAGATGTACTCCATGATGATGATGAGGAGTCTGTCATCCCATTCGAAGTTTTCAATATATCTAACAATGTTAGGCTGTTGATGTTAGCGGTTTTGCTTGTCTTTTTATTTCTCGTCTCTGTCTTCTGCGTCATCTCCTTCTTCTTCTTCTTCTTCTTCTACTCCTGCGGCGTCTTTTATGTCTTGTCCTCCTTATTTCTCTTCCTCCATTGCGAAACAGAGCAGAAGGGAAAAACGAAAAGACGGAGAGAGGGAGGGAGGGAAACTCACGTGTTGAACCCTCTCCATGATCTTCATCTCATTCTCAACCTTCTGATCCAGAACACCGTTCCTGATAAAGTGCCTCTTCTCCAACTCCTTGGCAGCATACGGTTTCCCGTCAAACTTTCCGGTGACCTTGTAGACGACGGCAAAGGCCCCCTTCCCAATAGACCTGACCTTGTTGTACTTGCCCGACCCGGTCCACTCTTTGCTCCTATGCACAGCGGCAGCGGCAACGGCATCCCATTTCCTTCTAGGAGAATTAGTGCCACCACCACCACCGCCGCCGCCGCCGCCTGCAGTCCGCTGCTGTCGCTGTGCCGCCCTCCCAGGTGTCTTGAATATATCGACAGGACCGGTATGAGCCGGGGCAAGATTAGCGCCCCCGTTATCCTCGGGCGGCGCGACGCCGTTCTCCGTCGCGAGACCGTGTCTTGCGAAGTACTGGACTACCTTGTTGGCGTAGGCCTGCTCGTACTCCTCGTCTCGTCTGGGGATGCGTACGCGGAAGGTGAGGTCCTGCGTCTGCCTGTGCAGGTATATCTTTATGACGGAGCCCGAGCTGAGGACCCGACGGTTTCCGTGTGCCTGCTGCTGCTGGCCACCCGGCTGCTGCCGCTGCTGCTGCAGTTGCTGTTGGCCGGGGGCAGGTCGCCCGTGGAGCACATGGTTGTCCACGTGCGTCCCGTTGGTGGACTGGTCCTCTATCATGACGTTGCCGTACTCGTTGACGTAGATGCGGAAGTGCACGTTGCTCACGCGCTTGTAGGGGTCGCCGGTGAAGACGATGTCGCAGCGCGACGGGTTCCGTCCGAAGGCGCAACCGACCGCCGGGCTCTTGAGGGTCGACGAGAGGCGTAGGATGACGGCGTAGCTGGGCGCCACGGCCGGCGGCGGCGGCGACAGCGAACCCCCGCCATCCTGGCCGCCCAGGTCGTCTTCGTAACCGGTGCTGTACTCGGCCCCGCCGGCCTCGTCCTGCCCGATGATGAAGGGCGAGGCCTCGGCCGCGAGCCGGGACACCTCCTGCCGCGCCGCCGCAGAGTGCGGGTACAGGACGCATATGATGTCGGAGATGTCCTCGTCTGAGAAGCCCGAGTTTTGCTTGCCTAGTCGGCGAGGGTCGAGAACATTCTGGGTTGCTGGTGTTTGTGTGTCCTGTCAGCCGTCCTATCCTGTTCCTATCCCCCATCTGGTTCTTCTCTGCGTCCCATCCGTCACACCGCCAGGGAGAGACTATCATCTTACCTTGGGTGGGCTCCTCGCCGTCCATTGGTAAACGTCGGCCCCCCAGCGTTTCCTTTTATTCAGTGTGTGGTTTCTTTTTTTCTCTCTTCTTTCTTTCCTTTCTTCTTCTTCTTGTCTCGTCTGATCCCGACACTGGCTGTTTTCCGTCGTATATGTTTCTCGTCGTCGCTGTGATCCTAACGTCGTGTGTTTCTCGTCTCGTCTCGTCCCGTCTTACTCTTGCGACGTTGTGTTCAGTCGGGGATATGTCGTCGGTGTGTAACCCAGTGTCCCTCGGGAAAGGGCTTCAAACATCGAGCGAGGATTAGATCCGAAAGAAACCGAACCAGGCGAGGAAAGAGAGAGAAAAAAATACAATAGTGTCTTGCCAGAGAGGAGATGGGGTAGAGAGAGGAGGGAGGGGGGGGGAAGGGGTAAAAGAGAAAGAGGATGAGGAGGAAAAATACAAGCTGTCGGCTCATCCATAGCCCTGCCTATAGGTTGTCAATCAATCAGAGAGGATGGTGGGAGCTGTTGCACTAATGCCGGGGACTCGAGGGGGACTCGAGGGGGTGGGGGGGGGGGGGCCGTCGGCGTTGATCAATAGCCAACGGGGCAACCAACGGTTGAGAGCCTACAGATTCTGCTGCTGGTCACTCCGTGCAGACGGTACAGCGCTTGCTTGATGTCAGCCAACCCTGTTGCTCTGCCACCTACAGCCTAGTACAGGTCATCCAGGCAGTGCTGTAGGCGGCAGGCCAGATAGATGAATGGCATTGCCGTCATATGACGGTTCCTCACTTGTCGTTCCCGGTCAGACTACCACTATTGCTGTTTCCCCATGATCATATCGAATCAGATGGAACAGTTACATCTGTCCCTGCATAATAACGTGAGCATCCTATTCTTCCCCAGTCGTTCATTCTTCATCTTCTCCCCTAACCCAACCCAACCCAACCCAACCTGGCCTGACCTGACCTGACCTGACTTGACCTGACATAGCCTAACCGCCAATTGACTTTTTAGCGTCATGTCTACTATTAGCCTATTACTCCGTACATACGAATTTCACACTCCGTAATACATCCTTGCCATCGTCGTTGTATCATTAGCCATTAGCATCATAAACATCATATCTTGATCTACATCGAACAGACATCACATCGCATCTCTCAGTGTCTAACTGTACTGTACTGTATTGTATGCCCGTCAACTACAGCCTTGGGCCCATCCACTTATAAGTGAACATGACTTTCCCTTTCTGTCAGCGCCGTATATGATGCAATAAAAAGGAATAGGAAAAAAAGGAATGACACAAAGAAAACAGAGTATGTCAGGGATAAAAGTCAAAGGTTGTAAAAATAGAAATAAAAGGGGGGGGATGAGGAGAAGATTTGTAAGAATCGACAAAGAATGGCAGCAGAGAAAAAAAGAAACAGCAAACAACGAAAGAAAATAATAAAAAGACTGTACAAATTGAATCCCATGCAGCAGGAGAAAGCTCATCTGAGCCCTTCCCCGAGACTCAATCCTGTGAAACGACACGAAAAGTACATCCTCATCCCCAATTTGTCAAACTGCAAAACACACAAAACGCCATGCGTATGCGCAAGACATGCATGCTTCTGTTCGCTTTTGTCCGGTTAATTTCGCTTTTTGCTTTTTTTACTCTTTTTGCTCCATGCTGAGAGAAAACACACACGACGCACGATGCAATGCAGGTATACACCATTTGATACAGGCAATCATACATCACCACAATCAGAATGCCTGGCCCTGGTACTGAGCCGGCGGCGCGTTGCCGCGCTGAGGTCCGGGACCCGCGTACTGACCCTGCGGTGGCGCCATTTGTCGAGGGTCGTACGGAGGTTGCATGGGCGACGGCGGCGCACCACCCGAAGGTCCCATCGGCCGCGAGAAGCTGCCTTGGGGGGGGGGCTGCTGCAGGCCAGGGCTAGGCGGGGGGCGGTCGCCGTGGCGAGGTCCGCCTGGTCCTGGTCCTGGTCCGGGAGAGCCCGTCCTTAGCGGCTGCTGCCAGGGCGCTCCGCCCCTCTGCTGGGGAGGGCCATCTTCGGACCAGCCCATGCCTCCGCGGCCCATACCACCTGGCGCAGGCGAGTTTCGTCCTCCCGTTCCAGGTCTGGGCCCAGAGGGCGAGTACGGCCGCTGCGGTTGGCCGTAGGGAGCACCGGGGGGGGCCATCCCGCCGGGCGGTCCCATCCCACCGGACGGCCCCATCATACCCGGCGGTGGAGGTCCGTTGCCACGACCGTAGCCCATGGGTGGCGGGCCGCCGGGAAATCCTCGTGGGGGAGGGCCATAACCTCGTCCACCAGGGCTGGGCGGGGGTCCGGCTCCCGGGGGGGGCCTGCGGTAAGGGCCACGGAGACCAGAAGCGTACGAGTCGATGATTTCATCTGCCGTCGTGCTCATGTGCTTGTTGAAGCTGGCAGACCGGTCAGGAAAGGCTGGCTGGTCGGGGGGGCCGCCGGAAGGGCCATAGCCTGGTCCTCCTCGGCCACCGCCACCGGGAGGGCCGCCGCGACCCCTACCGTACATACCGGGCGGTGGCCCTGCTCCTCCTGGTGGTGATCCCAGGCCCATGGGCGGCGGTCCGCCTCGGCCGGGGGGCCCGGGGCTCGGGTTGCCCTGGTGGGGATGGGGTCGGGGTCCTGCGGACAGTGGTCCCTGTCCCCCTCCCTTCGGGTCCACGGGGGAGTAGGGAGCGCCAGAGCGCGGCGAGGAGCCGGTGGGTGGGCCGTACGACGGGCTGGCCGAGCCCATCGACGTGTCGGACGCGCTCTGCGGGATGCTGAGCGGGGGCGGCATTCGTGGGTCCTGCCCAGGTCTCAGAGCTTGAGGCAAACGATCGTCGTTAGCAAATGCTCCTCCCGAGGGGTTGGCGTGTGGATGTACCGAAGGCCCAATTCTCGCTCCATCCTCCATACCCCTCCTGTCCATAGGGGGCTGGTTGTTATTCATCTTGGCGCCGCCGGCAATCTGGGCTAGCGTCGTCTGCGAAAGCCTGTTGTTCGCCTGGTGGAGCTCAGGTGAGTGGTAGGCGCTGGTGGGGCGGCCTGAGTGCTTCATACCGCCAAACTCGGGGGGGCGGTTCACCGGCTCGGGCGTGTTCAGGTTGCGCATGGCGCCGCCAAAGTCCGCGGCAGTGGTGGGGGCTCCGTCAGACAGACCGCCAGGGGACGCATTCGGGTCAGAGATACCACGGGAACGGCCGGCAGCGTCCGCCCCGGCAAAACCCACCCTGGGGCGCGAGGCACCCTCCGGTAGACCAGAGGAAATTTGGGCACTGCTGCGGCTGTTGCTGCGAGAGTGAGGCGTCCTGGTTCCATCCTCTATGGCGTTCATGCGCGTGCCGGTCGCTTCCTTCAGACGCTTCCTCCACTCCTGCTCGGACCAAGTGCTGCTGTCATTCTCGTTGATGAGGGCGATGACATCCGAGGGGTCGAGGTATCCGTAGCGCTTGTTCTTGGGCATGGCAAACATGAGAGACCTCGAGTCGAGCAGGCTAGCGACCAACTTCCCAGGACGTCCAAAGAGGTTGAAGGTGTCCCAGGTGGGGAAGAGGAAGCGGAGAAGCATCTCGAAGCCCGTCACCATAGGGTTAACCTCGGGCATGACGAAGACAAAGCCCTCCATGTTGATCTCGGGCTCGGACGACATGTGCAGGGTGATGTTTCCCTCAATCTTGAGAAGGGTCGAGGCGTCAATCAGAGCCTTGGCCTGGGGGTAGATGGCGTAGGCCGAGTAGGCATCGTTGATGGTAGCCAGAGGTGCCAGCTTCTTCTGCTTCTTGCCTTCCCTCTTCTGGTCGTAGAAGAGGATCTTTCCCTTGAGAGGGGGGGCGGCAGACCTGTCGTAAGGGGAGCGCTTCTTCATCTCCTTCTGGTACTTGATGAACTCCTTCTCATCGGGCGGGGCGATGATGCACCAACAGCGCTTCCACTGCTGGCCGGCGCCGAAGCGGACACGGACCCAGTTGCCAATCTCCTCCTTGGCGCGGTCGAGGATGACATTTATGTTGTTCAGCGTCTTTCCCTTGCCGGCAATGAGGGCACCTGTGTAGGCCTCCTGCAGAGTGTTCTGCTCATAGATGGCCAGGCGGATGGCAGCGGTCCACTCGACGAGGGACTCGTGCGAGTTGAAGTGAAGGAGATAGCGGTTCCGGCCCGCGGTAGAGATGCTGAGGATGTTCTGGAGGGGCTGTTCGTCATTGGAGCGCGTCGGGAGCGACGCAATCTACACACACAAGGCAAAGCACATTGTCAGAGTCGTCATCTCATTGACGAGACGGTAAGGGGCACAAAATAGCAGTGGAGACGGTATTGAAGGAATTGCGGGCGTGACCTACCATCTTGAGCGAGGCATCCGTCAGGTTCAGGAACTTGGGGAGGACTTCACCGTCCTCACCGGCGGCATCAAGCTCGGCGGCATCCCACAGCGACAGGACGGTGCCAACAAGCTGGGCGAAGCATTCTGCCCAGGTACGGTCGGGGTTTGGCTTGCCCTCTGTGGAGGTGTTAGTGAGTTCCGAGACATGAATACCGCAAGGGGCCGATTGCCCAAGGGGTTTGGAACGGGTGGGATGGAGGGGCGGGAAGATCGAGACAATAACGTACGAGTGTTTTGGTCGTCGAGCTTGAGAAAGTAGCCCTCATGGTACAGCTTGTTAGAGTGGCTGTTGAGGTAGGAGAAGACGGGCTGCAACTCGGGAATGGTATTTTCGTTGACCTCCATGGTGCGTGGTTGGTAGGTCTGTATCATAGACAGGGGCCTCGAGTTAGAACGCTTGTGACGATGGGTGCTGTCACTGGCTGGGGAAGCGTTTAGCGGAGACCCATGCCCGTGATAGTTGCCGTCCGGCGGAGGGGTGAGGGGGCGCGAGTTGACCCGACGGTGAGCGGGAACGAATGGCTTTCCGTCGAAGCCTTCGCTGCTGCTGGTGCTGCTGCTGGTGTCTTTGGGGTGATCGAGAGGAGGCGAGGCTGAGTGCGGTGGCGTCTTTGTTCCGCCAGACAGGACAGACCTCAAGGAGAAGCCTGGTGGTGTACAGGAAAAAAAAAAAAGCAGGTCAGCGGGTTATACGCGCAATTGGGTACGTGAAATGGACGTAGAGGGTTTTGGTAAACAAGGGGGCCGACAGCGGGGGGTGGGATGGAGGGGGTCATCAGTGGAGGACGAGTGAGCCCCCCTGAGGGAAATGCGCTGGTATTAGCACAATAATAGCACAGCCTCTTTGAGTGAGCCGACGATCCGTCTGGGTGACGAATCCCCCCCCCCCATGCGCCAGCTGTGCAGTGTGTAGTATTTTGCTGGTGTTTTGACCACTGTGGCTCCCCACTTGGCAGTGGTCCCTTCAGAAGTAGTCGTAGTATGGACTCGCGGCGCTCTAAGCCATTGTGGTAGGGTAGTGCCAGTGTGATAGTGCCATAGAGACCCGAAACCTAATGACCGGTCGGCGGCCACGGCATCATCGACTGGGGCTCAGAGCATGGGGAGCCCAGAGCATGGGAGTCGAGTACGAGTAACGATACGAGTTCAACGTTCGAGTACAGCATAAAGCGTATGTTCCGCGTGCCCGTATGTTCCGTACTCCGTCCACATAGTCATACATGTAGAAATTAGTGGCTCTTTGAGAGTCTTGGCTCTGGGCAAATGCGTGTGCGTGCCCATGGCCCATGAGTCCATGACCAACAGGTTGGACCACTGACCACCGGCCACCCTTGGTGACCGACCCCCCCATGCAACACTGCAACGACCAGGGCTACCGGTCTGCCGACGCATGGCCATTGGGTACCCAGGTTCTTTTCGGCGGGACCCGACACAAAGAGTGTCACGAGCGCTTCGGGGTCTGGGCACGGAATGGAATGGAAAATGCGAAAAGGGTAACGGGTAACGTGGAACGTGCAAAGAAGAAAAGGGTGCATGGATGCGTTGATGTGAGAAAAAAATGAAAGTTGTGACGAACCTCGGCTGCGTGGCATCTTGTCCGCGCTTTAGGGACTGTGCTATGCTGGTTGTGTATGTGTGTGAGTTGTGTGCTGGGTACACTGGGTGAAACAGCGCAGCCAGGATACTTGATGCTCGTAAAAGATGGACTAAGACTGCGAGAGGGCGGTAATAACTCGTCAGTAATGAGGCCGAGGCGCTGTCACTGCGTAATAGGCTGTAATAGTAATTAAGCTCGGTAGCGTCTTTGGAGGCGGCGGCGTCGATGAAGACGTGAGTGATGAGTGATGAGTATTGATGGCGGGGTGAGAATTCGCTGGTGGTATACACGACGACTTTTGGTGAATGGGGATTCCGGAGAGACGTAGGTGAGAGGATAGATAAGTCGAGTAGGTTTATGTGAAAAGGTGAGAGAGAAAGACGATAGAAGAGGAGCGGGTCGAAACTGGCGGTCGATGAGAGAGGGGGGGCGAGCAAGTAATATTTGGCGCCAAGTACGAGTGATGGGCAATAACGTAGTAGTATGGACCAAGGTCGATGAGCGGTATACGAGGCGAGATGTACGAGGCTAGCGAATGCGCAAAAGCGAGGAAGGTTATCGTAGAAGAGATCCGGGGGGGGGCGTTCAGAATTCCCAATGTGGAATGGGAGTGTGGCGAGAGTGGAAGTAAAAGAAGAAGAGTGTCTGTGGGAACGTGAGAGAGAGAAAAGGAGATGTGGAAGATATTTGAGGGACGAGTGAAGTAAAGAATAAAAGAATAAAAGCAAAAATAAAATAAAAAGATATTCACACGTGTGTGAGTGTGGATGTCTCTTGTAATATATTAAAAGACTTGTTTTTTTTCTCCTCAGAGCAGCTGCAAAGAGGAAGGAACAAGAAGAGCAAGAGGCGCCGTCGCTCTTTCATACATGTACAAGAACGAGACCCGCGTAGGCGCCTTGTTCCGGAAGGCCGGAGGTGGGCTGCTACTTTTCTATTACTTACCTACTACGGAGCCATGTACGGCAGGATGTACTGAGGCATGCTTGCCTCTTTCTCTTTTTCTTCTACGCTACTTACTACCACTGCTAACTTTCTACTCCATACATGCACGATACTGTACTTCCGACGTAATACCACGCCGTCTGGGTATTACTCTATGGCTACTACTGCTACGAGTACTAATACTACTGGTAAACAGCTCAGCGGTTCAAGGTTTGTCCACAGCCAGCCAGCCAGATCCTTGCTCGAGAGAATCCGGCGACGGCGTCGCGCCTTGCCCCCACCGATGACACACTCTTTGGCTGGGATGTGTTGTTTGGGGTCCTTTTCACTCTCTCTCCTGTGTTGGGTCTGACTAGCAGTGGGAGGGAAAAAAGGGTGGCGCAAGACGAATTTGTCGGTACTACCCCCCGTGTTGTACACACCTACACCTACACACACACACACACACACACACACATACTGAGAAAGATATATACCTGTACTAGTAATCTGTACAAGTGCAGGGAAGAGGGGGGGGGGGCAGAGAGACAAAGGACACAGAGTGGGCAGGCAGTGGGCACCTGCGCAAAGCAAGCACACCCAAAACCCCAGCCACAGGCCCCCAAGAAGTCTGTCTTTGTGACCTAAAGGTCTCGGCGTCAGGACTCCATGCACGTCCCGCGTAGCTATCTCATAAGTACCTATTTAGTGCGAGTATCGTGGATCGATACTTACGTACGCTCAAGTTTCCAGGTTAATCAATTGTACGAGTACCGCATTGGGGTCGGCCTTGTGGAGGGAGGACCCTTCCAGGTTCCCTAAGAGAGTTAGAAGGCGCGCCATAAGGGGGGAAAGGGGGGGGGGGGGGAGGGGGCGGTCTCCAGTGCCCGGGGGCCCTTGCTACAGTGAGTCAACTAGAAGTGTAGAAGACAGGTGGTGCGATCGCAGGTCGTACGCAGCCTGGCGAGCACCTCGTGCGCAAAACTGTCTGGGCCCGTGTCAATCCCCTTTTAGTCCTCTTGACTCCAGTCGCGAGTCTCGATACGATACGATGCTGTTGCTCCTCTCCCCCCGTATGTAACGACCGCAATATTACCTGTTCTCCATAATACGAGCAGATCATAGCTTCTCGTCAGCCTCCTCTCTCTGTCTCATCGCTCTCTTTGTTTCCTTATACACTCCCTCTTTCCAGGAGAACAGGCTGAGACAAAAAAGACTGGGAACGAGAGAGCTCTTTGTGCCGCAATGAGTAATACTCGTATTATTATTACTATTAATATTTACCTGACTTACGAGTAAGTACATATAATCAGTCCGTACGACGTAGACTCATACTTGTAAGTATCAATGATAACTATACGCCTTGACGAGTGAAGAATGTCGAGTACGTCAGGTAGCACACAGGTTCTATCCATAGCTGTATATGCCTATCACAGAATATAGATACGCTGTCATGTGCAACCTCCATCAAGCAGCGGTAGCAAAACGTCACTCACCACCCGTGCATGTAAAGCGCACAGGCGCACGTACATGTAGATCACACAAAATTAGATATTAATATCCGGCGGTTATACGAATATCTCTTTCTTCGCCATCTGCCTCTTGATTCAATGTTTTTTTCTTGTTTTGTCGCCTGTCCTCGTACTGGAGATGCAGGACGCGCAACGTGCATACACACCTCCTACTCCTCCCTTTCTCCCAAACGGACGGGGAGAGAACAGAGGCCAAGGAAGCCGAAGCGACCAAAAAAGATGTGTGGTGTGGTGGGGAGGCGCAAGCGGAGCCCACGATGCGGGAAGCGAGACAGTGACAGCAGACATGTCAGGGCGTCTAAACAGGAGTACAGACAGGTAGGTAATACGTGCACCGGTATTGCACTTTACGAGTATTCACTCTCTGGCTCCCCATCTCATCTAGAGGCCGCCAAGATATTTGTAAAATGAAAGACCAACTGGCCATGCATGTTTGTTCCTTCGTTAGTCAGTTCAGTCCAAGTTCTTGGCAGTACAGATTATCTGCATGTAGCAGTGGTTTACATGCACGTTTAGTCTGCATGCATCGTGTGGAAATATCACTCGAGACTGCGAGTAAGTGCTATCGAATGCGGTAGTCCTAGCAGTGAGTAGAGTAGAGCAATAGTAAACCGTACGTTGACGACGTCGCATCGGGCCCCCATCCCTTCTTCGGCACTAGTCATGTAGTTGGTGCCCACGACTTTTCTCGTACAGAAAATATCATTCGTAACTACTCGATACAGAGTCATCGTGGACAGGAGAAGAAGACGGGAAACCGGCAACAGATACATGCGACTTGCTAGCAATGCTCCGTAAAACTGCTGATCCCGGAGTTGTATAGAGAAGCTACGCATCGGCACACGTGCCGGGCCCGAACAAGAAGGGGGGAGAGGAGGGGGGATAATTTGGGGATCGGTGGCGTTTCCTCTTAGTGTGGGCGAAAAGCGTCGTCATCACCGTCATCACATGACGAGGCGAGAGGGCACGAGTTTGGTGAGGCATTACCGTGCTCGCATCCTTATCCGGTATGATATCTTTCTGTTCTTTTTTTCTTTTGCTGCGAGTGCATGCCGGCCCTTGAAGAAGTCGTTTACGAGCACAAAAGAAGACGAGAAGAAAATGAGAGAAAACGGTTGGCGCCCATCCAGCCCTTGGGCCGACCCCATGCCAATAATGTGGTCCCCCCTCTCCCCCCTCTTTCTTGATTGGACTACCAAGCACACACACACACACACACACACACATACACTCGGATCTCTGACAAGCGCCAATCACCCTTTTCTTTTCCTTCCTCTCTCTCACACATGTCGCATCTCGGCTCCGGGATGGGTCTCTTCTGACGCGACACACAGCGAGACTGTGGGAGTAGATGAAACGAGGAGGATAAAAAAGGCCACATGCGTCCGCTCCCCCCCTTTTGCAGAACATGGCCAATCGTACCTGCCTTTGCCACCCAAAATGGGTGCCTCCCGGTAATATCGTGCTGGTGTCAGTCACGTGGTGATACTTCTCTCACTCATCATTCTTCATCCCACACCACTCAGCTTACGGAATAAACCTCTCGATTGCGAGTATCACTCCTTGGCGTCGTATCGTCCCGACACTGGCTTCTCCTCCTTCCATGCAGGTACGAGCCAATTGATATTAAATATATAAGATGAACATATATATGACAAATAAAACACCTTTCAGCTCGCCTGTGAGCCGGGACCCAACCTTGTGGCGGTACCTTGTCGACGTAGTTTAATCTTCTTTTCTACCCACTTGGTGGTCGTGTGCTGTCCTCGTTGCCAAGCAAAATATAACCTCCATGCTACCTCTCTGCCCAGAGACAACAGCAACAACGACCTGCTCAGCCACCATTGGCATGGGGGGGGGGGGGGGGGGGGGGGGGGGGGGGGGGAGTTGGGCAAACTTCTTGGCGAGCTCTCTCCTTGTTTCTCTTCGGTCGTTTTTTACCCGTAACGTGACGCGAAACTGATCCGACGCGGGGCTATGCAAAAGCACATACTGGTAATCTGCAGTTCTGGTAAACTATAGTATATGATATCCTGCGTACGATACTGTAGATTCATCATTCTCTGTCGAAGGGTATTATTTAATTAAGCCGTGTGTGTGGGTGTGTGCTCGCGGAGATCCCGAACCCGAAAGCGCGCTATTCCATTATCTCGCATTCTCGGGATCGCTCGTATTCGTACATGCGGGCTTATAATACCATATTATTTCCCCAAGAAAAGAAATCATTTCATTGTACCACAGCGCTCAACAATTGACTGCGTTTAGGATGATTGAAACCCCCCTGTGCGTTTCCTTTTGCCGCGCGGCAGAGAGCCCCCGGGCGGCTACAACTTGACGAGTAGTACGATTAACCGGCCCAATAAGTCGACCCAACCGACCTTCTCTCCGCTAACAAATCAACCTACCTATACATGTCCGAATACAGGTATGGATGGAGAGCTAAAGGGGGGGGGGGGGGGGGATACAAAATACTACTGTACAGATTACTAGTGTCAGTAATATTACATGTACCCGTACAGCAATAACCGGGTATCGATATCCCCAGGCTTTGCTTGGCACGACTCTATGATACTCTCGTACTTGTTCTTGCCGAGCGCCAACCATGCCGCAGGTTGAAATGACTTGCCCCATCTCACCGCCAGCTGGTTCAGCTTTTTTTCGCAGCTGTCAACTGGACAAGTCTTGGCTACCAAATCCCGCCCGGTCCGTTCTGATCCCACTCTTGACGGATTCGAGGTATTTCAATTTCCTCAAAGGATGACGAGTGTGTTATTTCCGTGCGGCACGGAGCTGCGCACGAGTTAGTACTACGAGTACGAGTAATAATACTACACGTAACCATGCTAATATTGTCCAAATACATTGTGACCGACCACCCATCTACGAATATTATCTAGGCGTTTATTACTCGTACCTGCCTATTAGCATCTAGTATCGATCCGGCCTCTTCGGATGCAGCATGGCTCAATGGGCAGTGAGCGCTGCATCGCATCATTCGCTATTCCGAGGCGTCAGCAATCCGAACGGGATGCCCATTACGGCGGCACTAACGGAGAGAGCAATATTATCTACCATTACTACGAATCTACCTACTAGCAGTACCACTCACTATATCAGAACATGTAGCGCTACCAGAGCAGTATCGGTAGCCCACAGGAGCTTACGGGGTCATCGTTGCTCTGGAACATGTAACATGTGCAGATTATACTCGTGCATGTGGTCATCATCAAACGCCGTCGCTCTCCCCTCGTGATCCCACCACATGGTAGACTTCTACGCGTAACAGAGTGGGCGGCGGTCTTTCGCTTCTTTCTCTCACGACCCACTTAGACTATCCCGCCTCGTCGAAGAAGGACAAGGACACGCGCGTACTCTGTATTACTTCACAATGTCAAGGACACTCACTGTGTACGGGTATGGATGCCAGTATGAGTGGTCATGTCTATACTCATGCACTCGTAGGGAGGAGGGTATGGATACTTGACGTATTACATGTGATAGTATGACTTACGGATATTACTAATACGTACGGAGTGCTGCTCACTAGTATTATCACTACTCGTCTGCGTGGACCATGGACCGCGATGTACATGCCATCATCTCCTTGCGACACCACTGATGCAGATCATCGGCAATTCATCCATATCCGTGATACGCAGCCAGCTAATCCACCACAGTCCATCTCGTTCCCCGTAGTAATAATGATACTATTGCTCGTTGGACCTGTGCAAGTCGCAATCTGTCTGCATCGCTACTTGTAGCCTTCTCATACATTCTGATCATTACCCAGCTCCTCTAAGCCTCCTCCTTTCTCTTCTCTCAGAGATTCCCTTCCTCCCTAAACCTGGGCCCCCTGTCGCATCGTCTCCGCTAGCATCTCAACTGCCTCCCGGGAAAGTTAAGTTGAACATACGGGCCCGGTTTGAAAGAAGGGTAGAGAACCAGCCCTTCCTTCCAGCCCTTCCTTTAAAAACCCTTCGATACGTCATACCCTATTTTGGTAACGACTATGTAATTTTTTCCCCTTCCCTTTTTTTTTCAACCTCGCCGTTTAATGACCGCTGCTAGTTTAATGGACCATGTAACATCGCGTAGCTCACTCCGTAGTTCCATCCACGCCCAGTGTCAGCTTATGTGGTACCGGGACGGTCCAGTAATCTATGACGAGACGGACGGAAAGACAAGCCTTTTTCCTGGTGTGCGACGTTGACTCGGTTCATCTTATTTGACCCACGTTTACCGCCTCCTCCTACGACACACACACACACTCACCACTATCACTACTAGTCCACCGCCCAGATATCTCGATCTGAAAGAGCATTGTGGCCCTTCTCCGGACCCTGACGTGTGCCAACCCACAAACTCCATATCTTGGCATCGGGGAGAGAGAGAGGGAGGGGGAGGAGGGGGGGGAGGCATCAGGATGACAACCCGCTCGTGTCATGCACCAAAAAGTTTCTTTACACTCCCTGTATTAATTAGGTGGCGTATACCACCACCTAACTATGAACATCGAGAATATGTATACGTAAAGAGACGATGCACGTCATGCTCGGGCATCACTGAAACTCGGGCTTCCATTGCTTGCTACTGTATCATGTTGCTACGTACACATGGATTATTCTCACAAAAACTCACCCGATGCGTCTATAGACCTAATAATATATATTCTTGCGCATATACAGCAGTAGATCTGATATAGATCCGACGAGACAGCTCCACACAGAATACGTAATCATCGAAGTCAGACTGTGCAATTGTACGTCGCATGGAAATTAGGGAGAGAAGAAAGAAAATAAAAGCCGGAAAGAAATGAGAGCTAATGGCGGTAAAAGAACCAACAACGTAATTCGGAAAAGTTGGATACAGGGTAAGACGACTTGAATCGTGGAGTTCTACCGACTAATAACGTATCCGTGGCACATTACTCGTACATGTAGGTAGCTAGCAGCAGACATGTATCATCTGCTAATAAAAAGGTCTCCATGGAAAAAAAGCATAATCTAACAGTCGATATTGCACATATATATATATATGCATATAAGTACTGGAGGCCCTTCTATCATGACCAACGCCCAAACCTCCATTCCCAATCGTACATACACGCGCTGTAAAACCAACTGACCTCTGTCAATCACGTGTTAGTGCCTATCAAGGGTAGCAGCAGTGGAACAGGAACAGGAATGGGCTTTCCCTCTCTGTCCCGTCCATCGGTGGCAGTCTCCCAATAGTATGATCCGTAAAATAAAAAATACCTACTAGACAAAATTAAAGTCACCGTTATCGGCCCACGCGAGCGCGAAAAAAAAAGGGTGCGATCTTCAACCCCAACCGACGAATTGGCAACAGAGGGCCTGTAAGAGAGAGACGGAGAAAGGGAGGGCCTTCTTGTCAGGCAAGGGGCCACATACCCATGGTGCGGGAATGCGCTGGTTACATGGTCCACCCCTGGCGGCCACGACCTGTTGCTGCTGGAGGACAGCATCATCACGTCCCGTCTTGTGGCGGGGTAGTGGCAGAGGCAGGCGGAGAACGGCAAACGCTGCGACGGCGACGACTGCCTCCTTGATATGCCTTCGTCGATACGCCTCCAGCTCATCACGCACGCCAGAGACACCGGCGGAGGCGAAGGCGAAAGCATCATTACCCAAACTCCCCTATCGATTCGACACGGGCGTAGCCCTCTTCGCAAAGCGAACTCCTCGTCCTTTCCCACCACCTTTCAACTCACCACCGTCCGTGTCCTTCTCTGACCCCCTGAGCACATATCATCAGAGCCGTGACCGGAGGGCATTCGTGGATGGAGAGCTCATAAGGGGCCAGACGAACGGGGACGACGCAGTCTATGCAAGCGACTACTTCATATGTGCGAATGATGGGGTGGGTGCTTGGGCTACGCGACCCCGCGGTCATGCCGGGTATGTCTTTTTTTATCTTGTCTTTTTTTTATCCTGTTCTTTTCCGTCTTCTACCTCGTCCGATAGACTCTGGCTGACTGGTTTCCCGTCGCTAAGACTCTGGTCACGCCTCGTGGTACATTTTTGGGCATCCGCCGTCGACGGGCTGTCGGCGGGGTCCGATGTCGCCGGCTCGCCCAACGAACCCGACCCCATATCTGCCCTACAGGCAGCCTACGAGCACACGGTCGAGGCAACTGGCCAGCACGACTGGCAGGGCACGACGACGGCGTGCGGAGCCCAGCTGCACTGCGCCGTGCGCCGTCGCGATACCGATACCGATACCGACATCGAGGGCGCGAGCGGGGGCACGCCCTCTCCCGTCCTGTACGCCACAAACCTGGGGGACAGCCAGGTCATGGTGCTCCGCCCGAGCGACAAGCGCATCATCTACAAGACAAAGGAGCAGTGGCACTGGTTCGACTGCCCGCGACAGCTGGGTACTAACAGCCCTGACACCCCCCGGGAAAACGCCGTTCTCGACGTCGTGGACCTGCGGGAGGGCGACGTGGTCCTCGCCATGACGGACGGCGTCATAGACAACATGTGGGAGCACGATATCCTCGACACGGTCCTGCGTGCCATCCACCACTGGGAGACGAACCCATTGTCGAAAAAGGACGACGGCGTCGACCGCTCCGGTGGGCGGAACGGGGGCATGACGATGGCTGCCCAGGAACTTGTCGCCGCGGCTAAGCAGGTTGCTATGGATCCCTTCGCTGAGAGTCCGTTCATGGAGCATGCCATCGAGGAAGGCTTGGCCAGTGCAGGAGGTGGGAACATTCCATTCAAGGACTTGCATGTGTATGTGTGTGAAGGAAGTAATGCTAACATGGTCTTTTTTATCTATCCATAGGGAAACCTGATGATATCAGCGTCGTGGCTGCGTTATGTGTGAGAAATGAAAGCTGAAAGCGAGAAGGGAACGGTTTTATTAGACTCTGTTTTTTTCTTGCCCCCTTTTATATTTATATAACTGCAAGCTAGCAAAGCCCTCGTCGTCGAGGAGGATCTGCATCACGACGGCTTGGGAAGGTATTCATGGGATATGGGTGGCAATGAATCTGGTGCTCTTCTTTGACTTTTCACGCACGCCATCTACGGAAGCCTTTTGTCCTCCTCCCTTCTTCTAATTGACCTTTCACCGAATTCACACGACAAACAAGATACACATTGCATTCCTACTCGAGATATATTACTAGGACCTGTAGACAATTGTTCAATATGTCGTCGTGGTCGCAGACATTTGGCCTGGAGGGGTGTGGGGCTCACGCCAGATAATAACGGTGTGATAAGCCGCTTGGCGCCGTTGGACGATAAGAAAATTATTTTACAGGAATCCTACAAGGCACTTCGCAGCCGCAAGCAGCCTTTGAACTTCTTTTTCCTATACCCAGCTACGAGCTACGAGCGCGATCATACACACAACGAAACATAGGGACAGAGAGAACGAGGAAAAGAGGGAACACCCTTGGAACGGATCACTACTACTCTACCAACTTATTTGCGATAACACGACAAATTCGCCAAGATGAGGGGCAAGCGGTCGAAGCAATACCGCAAGCTCATGTCGCAGTACCAGATGACCTTTGGTTTCCGCGAGCCGTACCAATGCCTCGGTGAGTCGTGAGAGGTCTCGGAAAAGAAACCAGATTGGAGGAACCTGCCGATCTTTAACAATTCTCATAGTGGACGCCGAAATGGTGCGGGACTCGTGTCGATTCAAGATGGAGCTGGCGCCCGCGCTGGAGAGGACTGTTCACGGAAAAGTCAAGCCGAGTACGCTGCGCACGCACCCTACGATCATCTGTTTCTTCCCCTTCGAGGGATCTTCGGTTCGCGATTCGGCTAACATTGGCGAAATAGTGATTACACAATGCGAGATACGAAAACTGTACGGGCAAAACTCGGACCCGGGAGCGGCCGAGGCCATCGAGGTAGCCAAGACGTTTGAGCGACGCCGCTGCGGCCACCACCCAGACGAGTACCCGGAGCCCCTGTCGACTGAGGAGTGCCTGGAGAGCGTTGTGGACCCCAAGAAGTCGGGCACCAACAAGCACCGCTACGTGGTGGCCAGCCAGGACAACAGCGTGCGGAGGATGCTGCGCAGCGTTCGCGGGACGCCCCTCATCTACGTCAAGAGGAGTGTCATGATTCTCGAGCCCATGGCCGACGAGAGCGTCCAGGTGCGCGCTCGAGAGGAGAGGGCCAAGTTCCGCGCCGAGATCAGGAAGCCCGTGGCTACGGGGAAGAGGAAACGCGACGACGAGGACGACGAGGCCGATGGCGATGAGGATAGGGAGGGGCACAAGAAGGAGAAGAACAAAAAAATCAAGACCAAAGGTCCCAAGGGCCCGAACCCGCTGTCTGTCAAGAAGTCCAAGAAGAAGGACCCGGCCCAACAGAACAAGGGTCCTAAAAAGAAGGCTGCCGAAGAGATTGGGGATGGTAATGCTCCCGCTTCCACTGCCACCGCTACTACTGCCATCACTGCTGCTATTGCTACTGATGCGGATGGGGAAGTACCGGCTAAGCGCAAGAGGCGTCGCAAGGGCACGTCTTCCAAGGGAGAGCAGCCCTCGACAGACGGAGCGCAGGCCACAGAAGCAGTTACGACGACGACAACAATGACGACGACGGATGGAGACGCCGAGTAGCAGAATGGGTCAAGGAAAAAAAAATGATGCATTACAACGGGAAAAGGGCGAGGAGATGGAGGCCAAGCCAACGTCTCGTGTGTGTGGAATGTAGCAGAATCATCACGTATAAAACTCGGGCGTTTTTCCCCTCCCTTTCGCATAGACAGCAATGTCTACAAAATGGAGCTGAATCTGATATTAGCCGAAGACTTTTTAAGAGAGCATCGGGGAGAACCGAGGTGATGGGCAGGGCAAAAGAATCCGGGACCCGGGACTGACGTTTCCACCTTCTGTGATAGGAATGGTACAGCTGTCATGGATGAATCTCCATGAGGTGCTGTGGATGAATGTCGGCAGAGGTTTGAAACCTTGCGATATACAGCCTTTGAATCCGAACTCTCTAACAATGGATACAACACGTGAAATAACATAGCAAGAAGTGGCTTGGGGTACTGGTGGTGTGATGGCTCGTTTTTTTATTTTTATTTTTATTTTTTTTTTACAAATTTAGAAGATTTGCTACTAGGGGCCTCGTCTCTTTCCCCCCCCACCAAATTGAGAGAAGGAGGGTCTCTCCCTCTCGTCCCTCCACACACCCCTTTGTCAAACCTACGACAACTCATACTTCCCAAAAAAACCAAAGTCCAAGACCCCTCCGACCAAACCCAAAAAAATGGCATCGGTGTGGCTTTGAACAAGAGAAAACTGTTTCTCACCTCCAAAGGTCACACTGATGTCCATCTGATCCGGACGCTCTTGTCCCCCTCCCCTCCCTCCCTCCTCGGTTGCGGACGCGCGAACACAATGGCCCGAAAGAAGAGTGCCGAGCCTGGCCAAGGCAGTGACGACGTCAGCAAAGGCGGCAAGGCACCACCGCCGCCACCATCATATGTCGATGAGGTCGACGACTTTGGCCTCCCCATACGAACATATACCAACAAAGATGCCGATTCATCAGATAGCGCTGCTGACGATTTCGCCGATGCCGTAGAGACCGTCGACCAACAGCAGCAGCAGCCGTCTGACCGCCAGACTGTTGGGCAGGGGAGCCACAGCAAATTTGATGACACTCGCCAAGACACGACGACGGCAACGACGACAACGACAGACAAATCCAGCACGCGGGATGCTGCACAGGGGCCTTCTGCTAATGCTTCTGGTTCCACCGACACTGCTACATCGGCACCGGCACCGGCACCGGCACCAGAACCGGCAAAGACCGAGATGGACAGTCCCGCAAACGAGACGGTGAAAGGGGCCTCGTCAGATGGGACGAAGGCCGCCGCTACCGCACGCAGCGAGCCGATTACGAAACCACAAGACCCCGAGAAAACCGGTGTTTCCTCGTCCGAGGCTGCTGCAGCCACCCAGGGCCACACGAAGAATATTCCCAGCGTGGCCAGCCAGCAGGGTGGCCTGTCCGGGTTCTCGCACCAGCAGACGGGAGAACATGAAGACGCCGACAAGGACAAGGATGACGAAGATGACGACGGCGGCTGGCAGGAGATGCCCGCCTTCGCCCCCTACGACATGTACGATGACAACGACCGGCTGATTGCGAGGGAGCTCAACGTTGAAGACGAGGACGCTCGGGCGGCCGTCTACAGCAACATGGGCGGCGCTGGCCGCGGGTACACGCGGGTGCTGATGGACGAGGATGCCCAGTCGGCCAACAGCATGGACGACAACACGCAGTACCTCTTCAAGGAGGGCGGCAAGGGCACCGCCATGATTGATGAAGACGACGAGGCTCGCGACGCCATGTCCCAGATGCAGGCCACAAAGGACCTCCTGACCGAGGGCCAGCGCATAGCCTACGTGGGAATCGTCCGCTTGGAGGTTGCAACCATGGTCAGCGACGGCGAGAAGCTCGAGTCCACCCGCAGGATCCGCAAAGAGGTGGCCACGGCTGCCGAGGCCCTCAAGATGTGGGGCCAGAAGATGATGATTCGCCTCTATTCGCACATGGATATCAGCGACGCCGAGCAGATCATGATCGAGCAGCTGGCAGATCATGGCGTTGTGCCCCAGGACCTCGTGCCAGCTCTCCACGCGAATGCCAGAGTCAAGAATCCTATGGCTGCACGCCCCTCTACCTCTGGCGGCGACGACGACAAGAGCGAGAAGCTCGATATAGAGACGCAGATGGGTGCTTCGAATTCCGAGAACACCAAGGAGGAGGAGGGGCAGGAAAAGAAGAGAAACTCTTCGGAGTCGGCTCACAAGTCTTCGGATGATGCGCAGCCTTCCACCACACCCCCCTCCGTAGCAGAGAAGGAGAGGAAGCAAGAGAGCGATGGCACCGCAGTAGAGAAGGACACGAAGAAGAAGGCGGGAGGTGATAGCGATAGTGACAATGAAAGGGAGGATGACGAAGAACCGGCGGCGCCTCCACCGCCCTACGAAGCCCACGAGGGCGACGCCGCCGTCCCGGAAGCGCAGACGCCCTCACAGCTCCCCACGACAGCCAAGATTGATATCGACCTGCGGTGGACGGTGCTATGCGATCTTTTCCTGATCCTGATTGCCGACTCGGTATACGACTCCCGATCCCGTGTGCTGCTGGAGCGCGTGGGCAAGAGCCTGGACGTGTCGTGGACCGACATCTGTCGCTTCGAGAAGCGCGTCACCGACGCCATCGAGATGCAGCAGGCCGCCGACCGGGAGAACTGGAACGAGGACGAGCACATGGAGAACCGCCGCAAGGGCGCCCTGAAGAAGCGGTACATGATGCTCGGCCTCGCCACCGTGGGAGGCGGCCTCGTCATCGGTCTGTCCGCGGGCCTGCTAGCCCCCGTCATCGGCGCGGGTCTTGCCGCGGGCTTCACCACCATCGGCGTCGCGGGCACGGGAAGTTTCCTCGGCGGCGTGGGCGGTGCGGCCGTCATCACGTCGGGCGCTGTCGCCTCGGGAGGATACATAGGTGCCAAGGCGGCGGACAAGCGCACGGGCGCGGTCAAGACCTTCGAGTACAGGCCCTTGCACAACAACAAGCGCGTCAATCTAATCGTTACAGTGTCGGGCTGGCTCACGGGAAAGGTGGACGATGTGCGCCTGCCGTTTAGTACTGTTGATGCTACCATGGGGGATATCTACTCCATCTTGTGGGAACCCGAGATGCTGCAGAGTATGGGAGCGACGATTCGAATCTTGGCTACAGAGGTAGGTCTCCCCCTTCCTTTCACCTCTTTGTTGCATACAAAAAACCGAACCCCCCCCTCCCCAAAAAAAAAACTGCCTTGGACCGTTCATGGCTGTATGGGCTATGCTGACTTTGAGACAGGCTCTCACTCAAAGCATCCAGCAGATCCTGGGAAGCACCATCCTAGCGGCCCTCATGGGAGCGCTGCAGCTTCCCATCATCCTGACCAAGCTATCGTACCTGATTGACAACCCGTGGACGGTGTCTCTGGACCGGGCGTGGGCCGCGGGTAAGATCCTTGCGGACTCGCTGATCGAGCGGAACCTGGGCACGCGACCCATCACGCTGGTGGGCTACTCGCTGGGATCGCGTGTCATCTTCTCCGCGCTGCAGGAGCTGGCCAAGCGTGGTGCGTATGGCGTGGTGCAGAACGTGTACATGTTCGGGTCGCCCATCGTGGTCAAGAAGGAGGAGTACCTGCGGGCGCGGACGGTGGTGGCGGGCCGGTTCGTCAACGGGTTCAACCGCACCGACTGGATCCTGGGATACCTGTTCCGGCTGACCAATGGCGGGATCCGACGGGTGGCAGGGTTGGCGGCCATCGAGGACCTGCCCTGGATGGAGAACATGGACGTGACGGACATCGTGCCGGGCCACATGGACTACCGTAAGACCATGCCGAAGCTGCTCATCCGGTGCGGCTGGTCAGTCGAGAGCGAGGAGTTTAGCGAGATCGAGGATCCCGACCCTGACAACCACGATGAGAGGCAGAGGGAGCTCATCAACGAGATCGAGGAGGCACGCAAGGAGCTCGAGAGGGAAGGCAGGGAGAGGGAGAAGACGAAGCGCAAGAGCGGGCGCTTCTCCATCTTTGGCCGTCGCAAGAAGACCGACAGGCAAGAGTGGGAGCTCTACGAGGACAAGGATGGGAGCAACAGCAGTAGCGCCATCGGTGCCGGTGCCGGCGGCGGCGCCTCGGCCTCGGCGGCGGCCAGCGGCAGCAGCAGCGCTGCGGCCGTGGCGGCCCGAGAGTTGGACGACGAGGACCGCGACGCCGCCTACCAGGGCGCCCTATTCGACGTGGACGCCATCCGCGCTGAGCTGGCGAGGGACGCGTCAGACGAGGATTCCAAGCGCAAGCAGCAGAAAAAGGAGGAGGAGGAGGAGAAGGAGGAGGAGCTCCTCCAGGTGCGGGAGATCAAGTCGACGCTGCCGCCGATGAAGCTCGACCTGTCGTCCCCGAAGAGCACGACGAGCTACGGCGGGTATAATGATTTCAGCACGGGCAGCGGCGGCGTGGGATTGCACGACAGACCCGACGACGGCATCCACATGACGTTTGACACAGCGTTTGACGGTGGCGACAAGGAAACGAGCACCGGCAGTTACCGTCACCAGCACCGGATGAGTGCGACTAGCAGTACTAGTCCGAGCTCGCCGACGCGGAGGGCGCAGACGGCTACGACGCTCTCCCCCGCGGCGACGAGTAACCCGTGGGGAGACGTGGATGATGACGATTTCGGTCAGGGGGAGGAGGAGATTTCCATGACGTTTGCCTAGAACTTGGGGCAACTAGATGACTCTACAATATACATTAATATGATGACATTTTCCCCTTCTTTCGAGTTTCCTCTCTCTCATCTGCTGTTGCCGTTGAGGCTGGGAGCGTTGAAGAAATAGACGGGTTCCTATGCATCTACCTCGTATATATATATATATATATATATATAGATAGATAGATAGATAGACATGTAGACAGACAGGTGTAGATATATACTCGGCAGAGTATAGCAGAGTATACTACCATGTACTCAGAGTGTATGAGCGGCAAGAGGGGGTTATATACCAAAAGGGGCTCAGAGGGACGTCCAATTGAACTACCATCACTACCAGTTACTAACAATACCACAAGTACATTTACTCAGTGTCTGTCTGGAAAGAATCGAGTCAAGTGTAAGATGAGAAGCATGGCTTTCGACGAGAATGCAGCTTATCCCTTCCAAGGTCAGTCCCACTCACATACCCACTCATCGTGGAAGTGCCCATCCTCCCCTCCCTTTCCTCTTGTCTGGTTAGTCCAGCGGTATGCATGCATGCATCTACAATCAAGGAAGACTCCAGAAAAAATAAAGACAAGGATGGAGATGGGTGAAAGAGGAGAGAGAAGAGAGTGGTGAGAGACAAAGACAGCAAGGAGGAGCTGTCATTGAAGAAGAAAAAAACCTCCATCATGATTCAGGAATAGGGCTGATCTGCCTTGCCCAACGGGAGACGCGGCCGAATGGACCAAATCAACCAACCAACCGACTAACCAGCCAATCCCTGCAGCGGGAACGGAGTAAACCAAGTCGCAGACATTGCATGTCGAGGACGGAGTAGATGATACTGCAGAGTAAGCACCATCTGCATTGGTCCGTCCCGTCAAACCCATGCAGCCAGAGTTCAGACGCTACAAGGACAAGGAGCGGCAAAGTGCATGGCGGTTGGGCGGCCGTGACTGTGAGCGGGGCGAAGGATGTATGCCGGTCGTGAGTGTTGTCTTTGTGTGTGTGTGTGTGTGTGTATTTATATATATATATATATTTATCTGTATCTGTTGGTAGTATGTTAGCGGTTGGTTAGTCCCTCTTCACTCTCCCCCTCCCTCTCCCTCTCCCCTTTCTTTGTCCATGTTGATATCCGCTTCTTTCTTCCTTCCTTTCTCTTTCTCTCTCTCTTTCAATGCCATCATCTTGAATGAAAGTGGTGTTATACACGGGCCTGTACATATAAGAGAAGAGAGAGAGAGAGAGGAAGTGAGAGAGAGGGAGTAGAACCGTACATTACAAGATGGCAGACAACTGGTTATCGGAACGGTTGATGGAGAGGGCGGATGCGATAGAGGTACGGGCCGGACCGACGTCGTCTGTGACGGGGACCTCGGAGGAGGAGGGGGCAACGAGCACCTCTTCGGTCGCGTTGACCGTCACGGCAGTCGGCACGCCTTCCAACGAAGTCACCTTCAACTCGACCGTGAACTTTAGACAGGCCGGCGATGACCCCGCGCGCGTCTGGACGGCCTACAGCAAAGGAAGTCAGTTCTGGTTGTCGTGGTCGACATCGGGCCCGGACGTCAAACTCTTGGCCGTGAGCCTGGTCAGGATCATGGACAAGGACGCCTCCGGCCTCGAGACCGTGCGCAACGTTAGCTTCGCCACCCCGGAATCGGGCGCCATCTTCACCAACATGTCCTCCTACGGCACCCTCATCAATCTCACGTCGTTTGGCAGCGCCGACCGGAAGAGTCGTCGCGCTTCTGTCGCCGACACCGCTGTTGCCGCCGATGACGATGCCCCGATCAAGTACAAGGATGTGGTGGCCGTCCAGCTCGACTGGGACGGCGATGGCGACGGCGATGGCTATACCGGCAGGGGAAGCTACGTCTCCGGATTCTTCAGCGTCGTGGCAGACCAGGAGAGAAAAGACGTCAAGGAGTCGCTTGAGAAGACCATCGAGAGTTACAGAAATTACGAGACCGGCATGATTCCCCCTCCGAGAGCAGCCGTCAGCAGCAGCGGCAGACCATCCGCCACCTCAACCCAGAGCATCAACCCCTCTGTCAAATCCGGCGGCGGCGGTCTCTCGACCGGTGCTATAGCCGGCATCGCCATCGGTTGCGTCGTCGGCCTGGCCATCCTCATCCCTCCGCTGATATGGTTCTCGGTCGTGCGTCCGCGTCGCAAGCGCGGCGGCGTCCTCGTCGTCGTCGGGGGGAGGGGCGCCGGTCAGCATCTGCCCATGCTCTCCGCCAAGGGCAAGATATCAGGCGACAGGGTTGCCGACGAGGCAGACAGTCCAGGGGTATATGCCCCCGTTCAGCAGCAGCAGCAGCAGAAGCAGAAGCAGGAGGGCAGCGTAGCTACCCGGCTAGTCAACCCTGCTGCCGGCGGTGGTAGTAGTGCCAACGCTTCACCGTCCCGTGACGATGTCGTCGACGGGCGTAGTAGCCGCGCACTCATACATGAGCCTGCCCCCGCCGCCCAAACGCGGACGTCTGTGAACCCCAGGCAAGAACGAGCGGCGTATTCTCATCTTGTCGAGGACGGCATGACGGAGGAGCAGATTCGCCAGCTGGAGAAGGAGGAGAGGGAGCTTGATGAGGAGATTGAACGTCAGCGTGCTCACGGTGATCCACGATGAATTCCAGGCTACACCGTTGTTCTCTTCAAAACGGAAAGCGTGTTATATTCGATTCTTTATTTATTAACTTATCAATTTTGGTTTTATTTCATCTTCGTCCTGTTTCTTCTTGTTCTTTCTTCAGGAAAAGAAAGAAACCTCAAGATTCTATCTCATTGGCCTCACCTTGTGCAGTCCCGAGGTAACTAACTTATAAGTTGGTGGTCTGCAGGGGAAGGAAATGTGTCCGGGTCGATGTAATCGACGCGTCGGACATGTATTATAGCATCCTTGGGCGGTACATGATGCACGTAGTATAATCTTTATCATGCAGACTCTGGTTGGAATATTGTGACGGTGCGTTATTATGCAGTACGAAGACATACACACACACACATACACGCATGTACATATGCATATCTTCATTCATCAGTGTCCATGGAGGAATTGGTCGTGTACTACTGTCTCATCCGTTGTTTGACTTGCAGTTGCCTGGACTGATGATATGACTTGTATGCCATGCGTACGGCTACTTGATGAATTCGAAAGGCAGGCCACCCGCTTCTGATCCGAAGCAATAGTGTTCCTGCTGGTTCGTGATAGCTTATCCAGTGAGTTCCTCATAATGACAAGAACAAGATAAAGAGTCCATGAGTGCAATTTTTTGTCTTTAATGTTACAATACAAGAAAAAGAAAGCACCGAAAAAGAGAAGCATTGAATCCCCCGCGCCCCTAAAAATATAAGAAGAAAATGAAGAAGGAAGAGCAAGAAAAACGAAAAACCACTCATCTATGGTGGGCACCAGACATCTCTCCTTCTAATAATACCTGGCAACATTTTGATCCCTCTCTCAGCCCAGCCCGTACCGATGCGGTTCACAATGACGACGATAACAGCTGACATGACGATATGTCTGTGCGCTCGCTGCACCATTTAACCGCGCGTGAAGAAGCGCGAGACCATGTTTGTGGCGATGCTTCCGGCAAGGTTGGTTCCGCTGAAGGCGCCACCGGCAATGTTGGAGGCCTGGCTGAACTTGTCGCAGCGGGAGAAGGCGAGTGTGTTGATGCTTGTGAGGACGAGGGCGATGACTGTGTATATCTGTCAGTCTCGACTCTCTCTCTTCTCTTCCTCTTCCTCTTTCTCTCCCTTCCCTATTTCCCAGACAAACCCGCCCCCCCCCCCCCCC